TCTGAATCTTCCATTCCACCCCACAGCCTCTCCTTAGTGCCCTATAGAGTTGGGACAGACCTGTGGTGTTTTTGCTGAAGGAAGGAAATTAAGCTGGTTGCCTTCTTGCAACTTCTGCCTTGGGATGTTCTCACTTGGATATGAGACCAAGAAACGCAGAGTAGCAGCAAAGCCACGAGAGAGAAAGTTTGGGAACTGGAGGAGGCAGCAAACCGAGTGGGACCGGCCAAAGGGATGCTTGGGAAGGCCTACCTGTGCCACCGCCAGTCTCCCTGGGCCACAACATCTGGCCAAGAGGGCGTTGTCTAGAGGAGAAAGGGAGGCCTTTGGCCGCAAAGAGCAACCCTCTCCTTTTCTGCTGACTGCCAGAGGATTCTGCTGCAGCTTCACTTTCTCGGGCTAAACTTTCCAAGCTTCATAGCCCCAAAGGAGAGCAGCTGGGTGATCGCTAGAGGAGTCTTTCTGTTTTGCCACCCTCGGGATTCAAGGAACTCCGTGTCCACGGTTCTGGCTGAATCCTCTGGCTGGCTGCTGACCAGCTGGGCTCCCTCCAGGGCTGGCTTCTGCCCGAGGTTGCAATGCCTTGGTTGCAGAGGCACCAACCTGTCGGGGCCAGGGAGCTCCCCTCCTGGCTTGAGCTGATGACCTGCTCGTTCTTTGAACGAGGAGTGGGCAAGCTCCCTTCAGACCTCAGAAGGATAGAGGGCCGGGACCAGAGAGGGGGCGCTCCATTCCTCCCTGTGCCAGGGCTACCAAGGCGGCAGAGAGGTTCTTTCAGCATTCAGATGGGAGACCTTTTCACCTGGCCCAAGATCTGACTGGAGAACTAGGATCTCCTTGATGCCAGATTGTCTCTCAGACAATATGGCTCTTCCCTGAAAGGATCTTTCCATGCTAGGATTTTGGTTTTGAATCTTACTGAAAACTGCATGGGTGCTGGGGCAAGGGAAATGGAACACATGCAGCTCTGCTGCCTGCATACATAACATGCTAATAGTTGTTAACTGGATTCACTGCTTCCTTGCCTGGGTTCATACAAGAAACTGAGCTACAAATTATGCAACCTTATTTTAGTTTCAGATGTTGGGTGAATCCAGCCACTGTAACTGGGTCACCAAATTGATTGATTACAATCAATTATAACTGATTATAAGCAAAGAACTGGAGAGAATGGAGGAAGGTCTGCTGTCCAGGGAACTGTGGAACCCTCTCATTTTGGATGGATGGAAGGAGGGAGGGGAGGGGACGGGAGGGAGGGGAGGGAGGGAGTCTGGTCTCTCTGCCCCCTCGCTTCTCTCCCTCTATTTTAAGTTTCATGTCAGCAGTGAAGTTGCCTTTCAAGGCTTCTTGGCAGTGGGAGTCTGAAGGCCTCCTAGTTGCCATGGCAATTCGTAAGCCCCAAGGATGGAGGAACCAATGGCTGCTCTTGAAATAAGACCGTCTTTCTCATTCCCCTTTCCCATTTTATTTCTGCCAAACGTGTGCCAGACTCGTGGAAGATGCAAGTGCAAATGTGTGTGTGTGTGTGTGTGTGTGTGTGTGTGTGTAATTTTTGTGCCATCTGGAGTCAAGAGGGAAAGGAGGGCATCTTAACAACCCATCCCTTCCCCCAGGCACTTTCTCCATTCCATTTTTCAGCACCCTCAGCTTATTAGATAGATGGCTGTGACAGATGCTTTCAGTTATAAGACAACCAAGTCCCCCTTCTCCATCCAGACAGGCGCAGAAGAGGAGCATGGGGAGTGGAGCCCTGCTCAAGGTGTAAATGTGCTGCTCCCACAAGCAGCCTCCTTCTTCCACTGGCCTACAAGCTGCCCCATTTTCTGTCACTCAGGAAGAGACCAGAGCGACTTTCAGTACCTCCGGCGTGCTGGTAGCAGCTGCCTGGATTTTAGGCAAGAATCTTTCTTGCCTAAAGCCATAGAGGTTACCTGGCATCTTTTGCCAAGTGGCACTCCTCCTCCTCAAACAACAGCCACTCCAAGAGCGAGTCTGGGTCCTGAGATCAGCCATGCAAACGAGCCTGGAGCCTCACGACCACCTGCCAGAGACAGATGTAAGCTGACTGGGCCCTTATGGGAGCAGCTGGGGAAATGGGCAACTGGTCTCCCTCTAGCATTCTGGACTCGGAAAAGCACCTCTCATTGTGGGGCATGTAGTGCTTCCTGATGGTGTTTCGCTCTGCGGCTTTGGGCGGAGGGCTCTGCTCTGCTCTCAGCATCCTGCCATCCTGCTCGCATCCAAAGTCTCCACTTCCTGTGACGATGTCTTCTCATCAACAGTTTCTGCAATGTGTCTAGAATTAATTGGTGCCTCATATGCAGCTGCCTTCCCCCCTTAGGATTTGGTCTTCCTCCAAGGATGGAACAGAAGAGAGAGAGAAGTTAGCACACAGAGCCACAGAGCTGTGTATGCTCAATGCAGGGGGAGCGCTTTGCTCTGCCTCCTTTATCTCTTCCTCTCCAGGGTGGGCACGTGTACATAGGGTGGGGTCCCTTCCGCTCCAGGGGAGGAGGGGGAGGGATGTTGCCTGCCTACCGAATCAGGGTGCCCTGGGAAGGTCAGCAGTAGCCTTCAGTGTGGACCGTCCTTAGTTCAGGCCCCAGCAACATTTGGGGGGGGCACTGATGAGAGGGGGCAGGTACAGCTGGAGCTCTCTTGACTTGGCACCATAGAAAGGCGCTTCCTGCCTGCCTAAGAAGCAAGGGAGTCAGGGAAGGACACCAGCCTGTGCATCCCCATGCCTTGGGGCAGAGTGAGACGGGGCTGCTTGCTTCTCCCTCCCTCACCACAACCTACATGGAGACAGCTAGATTGCAGAAGGAAGCTTCTCATCAAAGACCCTTCAGACCTTCTACCCACCAGACTGGACATCCCAGCCTAGGAGTCCCTGGAGCAGCAGCAGCGGCAACAGGAGCTCGTTCTGCTCGACGGCTGCTGCTGCCCCCTGCCGGTCCCAGATCGGAAATTAGACCTCTACAAAGTGCTTGCGCCCGAGACAGATCCCAGAGACGCGGGTCCAGGGTCGCGGGATAAGATGGGCATAGCGGGGCGAACAGGTTTTCCTGCAGAGGAAACCAGAGGCCCCCGGGGAGCAAGCGGACGCGCTGGGCTCGAGAACTCTGGGCAGTAAGGGCGGAAGGCAGGGAAGGGGAGGCAAGTAGGGCCGCGGCATCGTGCCTCGCTTTCCTGCCCCCCCCCCGCTCCCTTTGGAGCAAGTACTGCAACCGGAGACGGTGTTAATCCGGGAGAAGAAGAAATGCGGACAGAAGGCAGCTAAAGTCCAGCTGCCGCCTAACGGTCGTCCGGATAAGCACAGCCCGGATCTATAATCTACTTCTTCCACAATCCGCTTTGGCGTGGACGGCTGTTGTGAACGTGCCTTTGCCGGCTCGAATTCTTGACAGCTACCGGTCTCAGTCAGGCGGGGTCTTCCCATAGAACCGCCTCCCCCCCCCCCCGAAAGACCAGGGTTAGTCGCAGGAAATGCGCCACCGGGAGTTCCTGGCCGTCTGGAAGGATCGAAGGCACCCGGGGAGCCTTTGGAGGAAATTTTTGGACCGACGAGGAGCAGGCAGATCGTCGTCCGCCCGCTGCCTCCGAAGCGACGACGACATCCGCTCCAGCACAGAGGGCTACCTGCGTTGCCCTGGGATTCCCCCCCTCCCCTCCCCTCCCCGCCTGGCAGCTGGCAGGAGAGGTGTGCAGGGCTTTGCCCAGGCCAGGAAGGTCCCCTGTGGCAGGAAGAGCCTTTCTGAGCTCCTCCAGATAACGGCGTTGCTGAATGCACAGACCTCCTGCCTAAGACCCTGGGCAGCTTTCCCCTCAATGCTCGGTTCACTCTTAGCTGATGTCTTAGCACAAACTGCTGGCATTTCAAAGGAGGTTTTTTAAACCTTTAAAATTAAGTCAGAAGAGTTAAAATTACTGGCTTATACTGTGTCCTCCCTCTGCATGAACAAGCTTGTGCCAGTGAAATATTCAGAAGTGGCTGCCTTTGCTCGCTTCCCAGGGTGAAGAATGGGCTCCTGGCCCCGGTCACCCACCTGGCTTCATTCCAGCTCTACATCACTGCCTTAACTCAGGTCCCCAACCCCCGGGCCGTGGACCAGTACCAGGCTGCGGCATGCCAGCAACCAGTCCGCACAAGCAAGCAAAGCCCCATCCGTGGGATGCAGGCAGCACACAAAAACACGCACCCTCCGGTCCACAGAAAAACCTCTCTCCACGGAACTGGTCCTTGGTGCCCAAAAGGTTGGGGACCTCTGCCTTAACTGCTTCCAAAGTAACCTCCCTTTTGCGCTTTTCCTCGTTTATTTTTTCCCTTCACTTTGCTAGATTTGCTTGGTGCAAGTTAACTGCAAACAGAAGACAGAGCTGAATCTGTGAATGGCACAGGAGATGGGGACTCCCCCCAGATAGTCTCCAGGGCCCAAACTCCAGCCTGTTCGGCCTTTGCCTGCTATGAAAGAGGCCCATTGCACAGTACAGATCACTTCAGACCTTGGCGGTCTCTGCAGAGAAGCCTGGAAATATGGAGAGATGCTGCTAGAAAAAAATAGCCATAGAAAGACCAAAGTGAAGCACAGTTATCAGAATTTACAATCCTCCCCCCAAATGTTTGTGGGGAGCACCAGAAGAGCCCAAAGCTGGATCTGGCTGCCCTTTCTGTTCCTATGGTGGTCAAAGGCGTATCGCAAAGGGGGCCCCACAAGGCTGTTGGGAGTACATGAAGAGCAAACTGTGGCTTGTGCTATGCTAAGAAATGCAGGCATCCACTGTCCAAAGGAGGGTTAAGAGAGAGGGGAGAGTCCAAGGGGTGGAGCAGATGAGGGGGGCTGGCTCTTTAAGGGGGCTGGCTGCCAACCCAAGAGCCTTTTTCTTTGCTGGTGAACAGGACAGGAGAGTCGCCAGAGGGAAGGAAGGAGAGAAGGCAACGGGGCATCACCGAAGGCTTCTTCTAGCTGAGCAGAGGCGGGAAAAGACCAAAGGTACCTTGACTTCATCCTGAAACCATGGGTAAGTTGGCAGATCCAAGGAAGCCTCTAATCCTTCTCGCCTTGACTCCGTTGACTCCATTGGGGAGAACCTGTAATTAGGAAGCTGGGCTTTTATCACCATATTGCTGTCCAAAACAGTGCTGGGCTGTAGGGATTTAATGCCCTTTGTTTTGGACACTAGGGATCTTAAATTTACTTAAACTTAAAACTGCTGTTTTTGCGCCCAAAATGTGCCAAAGAAAGACTGGCAGTGACTGGCAAGCCACTTAGGAAATGTCTCCTGAATCTCCCTCCAGGTTCAGCGTTCGCTCCTGTGTGGCCCTCTGAGTTTGAGCCTGATCCCCTTTCAGGAAGGGGGTCTTTGTCACTGAGCTGGTGACAAAATCTCCTTGGGGGTCCAGGAGCACCGCAGGAGAGCTCACACAATCGAGGAAAGGTTGGGATCAGAGTGAGTTGCTCTCGGAGAGAAGGGAGGCTGAGTTCCAAGGTGAAGCTGCAGAATGGGGGGGGGCAGGGAAGAGGGGTCTGGGTGGGGGAAGGGAGGCCAGAGAAGACATCCATATGTGATGTGTGTCGATCCTGCCAAGCATTCACTGGCTAAGCTTTGTGGATCTTTTCATTTTAAGAGCTCATAGAAGGAGGTTGCCATGCTCTGCCAGACAGGAGTTCTTTCTACAGGGACACCTGACTAATCTCAAGCATCATCATTGTCATCTTCATCATCACCTTCTTCCTCCTCCTACCGGAATGTGCATCCCAGTGAACCCCCGTCTGGCCCTTATTCTCCTGCAGTCTGGCTAAATTAGTCGACATCCTCATTGCTCTGGCAGAGTCTCTGAGCTCCTTGGCCAGAGCAGACGCCACACAATGCCCCCCACTGGAGAGGCAGCTGGCAGGTCGAGCATCTTCCAGGCCTCTTAGGACACCTGGGAGGAGGAGCTCTCAGCAACTCTCCACTTCCGCTTTTCCTGTGGTTAGTGGGTGCAGCTTCTCAGTCCCCCCCCCACACCCAGTTCCCAAGGTGCACAGGGATGCTTAGCTCTTCTCCTGCCCTTGCCAGGTTGCCTGATGTGCTGCAAGGTGTAAAACAAAACATCAGTACAATATTAAATCATGAATATATGGCTGTAAAAATAAAATGGACACATAAAATGACATTTTTCTGCTTTGGAACAAGCGCAGCTCCTGGGGAATTCCAAGTGGAGGGGAGGGGCCCCCATGCACAGCCACCGCCCAGAAGACGAGGAGTGATCCTTATGCTTGCCAGGCTCCTGCAGGCGGTTTACCTACTCCTGGCGTTTCATACCGTTCTTCCCCACACACACACATATTTCCCTCCTGCACAGTGTCTCCTCCCTCAGTATTTTCCCCATCAGTCCAAAAATAAAAATAAGCCAAAGATGTGCACCGGAAGGAGAAGAAATAAGAAGGAAAGATTACAGGTCCTCCTGTAGATCCAGGAATTCCTTACAATTTTAGGGAATCTCCTACATCAGCAGAACACGAGGGGCGCATTGGACCTGTTCTGCAGTCTAGGATCATGGCCACCCACATGGCCTTCTCTCAGTGGGGATTTAGCACGGAGCAGGGAGTTGACTGGATGACTTCTAAAGTTCCTTCCAGATTGGAGAGAGGGCATAAGGTGACCAGAGGAAGACAGGAGAGGCCATTCTACCACTCTGCTCCCCAGCGGAAGCCAAGGTCAGGGTGGATGAAGCACCAGTTCTCTGCTTGCTGAAAGATGCCTCCTTTCCTTCCCACAACACTTAGGAGAAAGCTCTCATTTCTCCCTCCCCCCAAACTACTTTTGGCCTCTGTCAAAATAGCTTTGGGAAAGCAGCTCCAAACCCCTCCCCAATCTCTGCCCCCACGCCTCTTCTTCCTCCTGCTGGTACCAGCCAGAGCTCCTCCGGACTCAACACAGCCCTATGTCGGGATGGTGGGGGTGGGGGGCATCGTTGAGCTCAAGCCTTGGGGAGGCTCATCCTGGTTGTCTTCTTGTGTCCATTGTTCTGCCCTGAGCACAAGGCTGGGGATTGTGTTCACACAAGGGCCTCTTTCTGTCATCTTCTCCACCAGCCTCCTCCTCCCCCCCCCCGCACCAAGAGCCATTATGTAAGCTTAGTGGGCCACCCCTGAGGCTGGTGGAAGGCAAGAGTTGGGCCAAGAGACCAAGCCTGGGGCCAGAGAGGGACCCTTGTCTGCCACGCTGCAGCTGTGGCTCCCTCTAGGCCACCAACCTATCCAAACTCCGGCAGAGAGCAGGGGATGCTTAGACCACTAGCTCTCCCAGTTTGGGTCCTAACTTAAAGCAAGAAATTTATTTAAATTTATTTATTTATTTATTTATTTAAAATATTTATATGTATATTTACAATGTATAAAATGCGAGGAATACAGGAATGATGAGAATAGAAAGCCAGTGCTGGCAAAAAAGAAATGGGTCCCTGAAAGCCAGCTGGGTGACTTTGGGCCAGTCCTTCTCCCTCAGCCAAACCCACCTCACAGGGTTGTTGTTGTGGGGAATAGGAGGAGGAGGAAGGTATGTTAGATAGGTTCGCTGTCTTGAGTAATTTGTAAAAATAATGAAACAGGATATCAATCAATCTCATGCTGGCAGCAGATCCAACAGAGCTGGACAGTCCTTCGCCTTTACCTACATTTTTTATTAATCCCAGTTTTTTGCTTAGATATTGAGTTTAGCCAGCAAGAGCAAAACAACAAAACTCCCGAAGCATCTGTAGCCCAGTGTGCTACCCCCCAGAGTGGCCGAGCAGAAGCCCCCAGGGAGGCCAGGTGATCCAAAGCCTGGTCTGCTGCGCCCCAAAGGGGACACCATCCACTCACAATCCCCCCTGTGGGTGCAGGCCACCCATCTTCGCACACGGCTCCCCGTGCTCCTTCTCATGGCTCAAGGCCCCAAAGTGAGCTCCCCAGTCAGGCCCTCAGCAGTCCCGCTGGGCTGATTCCCCTCGCCGTCTTCTGCCTTGCCTTCAGGCCAGGTAGGGCCCCTCCTTGCCCCCTTGGAGCCCTCGTGGAGGAAGCTGCGGAGGTGTAATGCTCAGAGGAAGGAGAGGCAGAGGACTTTTCATGGGTGCTCAGGCTTCCTGCCTTAAAACTCAAGGCCGAGCCCAAGACACCCTTCCCGAAGGATAGCAGGAGAGGATTCAGCCGGACAACCCTGAACGAAGCAACCCAGATCTCCGGCCAGGGGCTGCTTGTCCCCTAGGCAGAGATGGGGCCATGCTCTCGTGGCACTGGTGGGACAGTGGGGAGAAGAGGCAGAAGGACGAGGGCACTTAGGGTTCTCAGGCAGCAGGATGGTGATCATGAGCCTTTTTGGCTGCACCACGTCTGTCAGATGCCGGTCCCAAGTGGGAAACCTGCTAGGTTGAGGACTCGGGCACTTGTTCTACACCCCACTTGGGGAGAACGGGGGAAGGCTGGTCCCAAAGAAGGGCAAAGAAAAGAGGGCCCCATTGTTCTTTGCTGATCCCCCTTTCCTCCCCAGCCAGGGCAGAGAGAAGAGTGCAGAGCCTATCCGAGCCTGGAGGGGAGAACAAATCCCCCTTGTCCTCCTCCGTGCCACCCAGAGATCAGTACAGCTTGCGAGACTGACCCTTGGCCCAGCAGCTTCTGATGGGCCCATTCTTCAGGGCTGAGAAAAACACCCAGGGACAAAGAGGGAGTGGAGGAGGAGGAGGAAGAATGGGGAAAGTGCCTGGGGGGGGGGACAGATGCTGAGAGCTGGCTAAGCTGGGGAGGGCCGACTCTCCTCTCGATCTCATGGTGGAAACCCAGCAACTGAATTGCCATTGGGAGTTAATATGGGGTGTGTGTGTGTTCTGCACTGCATAGAGGATTCTTAGGTTTACTGTTGTATTTTTTGTAATATAGATAATATTAGTGAAGTGCCTGAGCCAAAACCCCAGAGCCAAACCCATCCACCACCTTCCGGTCCTCAGAATCACAACCTGGATCCAGCTGCACAGGCGAGGTCTCCAGGTAGCTGCCCTTCTCTCAATCTGCCCTTCTGAACCTCACCCCCAACAGTCCAAAGCAACGTGCTCCTCCTTGGCTCTTTGGCCCCACAAACACCAGCCTGGCCAGGAACTCTGTCCTGCTTTTCTAGGACAGGTTTTCTGCTTCCAGATGGAGCCTGGAGTTCTGAGCGAGCTCTCAGCTGGCCTCAGCAGGTAGACGATAGCAGCTCTTCGGAAGTCGAGGGCCAGTTTCTGGCCCAGAGCAGAGAGCAAAATTCCATCTTGGCCTTCGCCTGTGTCCATCACCGATGGTCAGGCACTTCTCCCTGCCAATGAAAATGCTGGAGGGAGGGCCGAGCACGATCCAGTTAAGAGGAAATGCAGAGTTCCGTGTCCTCAGGTAGATCCCAGGAGCCCTTCCAAGGTGTGGGCCAATCAGTCCAGCGTCCCAGGAATCGAGCCACGTCTTGGGTTCAGCTCGAAAGGTGGCCGTGCCTATGTGACATCTCCGCTAGGTAGAAAGGCCAAGAGGCCACCATCTGAATAATGGGCCCACAGGGCTGCCTGGAGCCATTAGAGGAGGCAACCGTCAAACAGATGGAAAGTTAAATGAAACAGACATGTCAAGGTTTCAAGATTCTGACCAATCTAAAATTTAACCTCTTTGCCAGACAGGGAAAAAGTCAGTACTTGATTTAAATCTTGCTAAATATCAGCCAACCTGCTAACTGTTCTTCACAACCAGAGGTGGTGCCCTTCCCTGCCCCCCCCCCAAAAACAATAAACAATGGTGACATTGTTCCCAGAGCAAATTCTGCTTGAGGGAGTGCTCCTATTTCAGTAAGTGTTGGTTTTAAGATCAGCAGACATAGGACGAAAACTAAAACATGTACCTGAAACCAGATGAAACTAGAAGAAAAATATCTGAAAGTGGACGCCCCCAAATAATCAGCAGCCCTGTGCCCAAATGCATGTCCCGGAAGAGGAGGGTGCCAGTAGAGGTGCCCCCCAGGCCTCTGGTCCTAAAGTCTGTGGCTCTTTTCCAAGAGAGGCTGCCTGCCTCTTTCTTGACCTCCTACCTGCAGGAAAAAATGGTGAGGCCAGTCACTGACCAGGAAGCAAATATGTGAAGGGGATGATGTGGCTTTTAGTGGGTGTGGCCATGGCTAAATTTCTGAGGTTGGTATCCCTTGATTGACGTTAAAGGTGGCTTTTTTGAAAAAATCATGGTCAGCCTCTTTGAATGCCCCTTGGGAGAAAAGCAGGATGCAAAACTAAAAACTGTCCTTTGGGCACTTTTTGTAAAACTGGGCAGTTTCTCTGGTAGCACATTCTGCTCTGTCTGCCCCTTCCCCCCCTCCCCCCTCCCCCCTCCCCAGTGCTTGCTGTTCATATTGATCCAGGATCAGTTGCCCCACAGATTTGGATCCAGTCTCAGCTTGACTTGATGCAGCCTCTAAAAGTTCTCTCTTCTCTGCACAGGGCAAAACATTTCTCCAGCTGCAGCTGCCGGGACTAACGGGCACTCTCTCTCTCCCTCCCCTCTCTGCCCAGGTTTGTTAGAGTGCTGCGCCAGGTGCCTGGTGGGAGCCCCCTTTGCCTCCCTGGTAGCTACAGGGCTCTGTTTCTTGGGAGTAGCCCTGTTTTGCGGCTGTGGCCATGAAGCGCTCACGGGCACTGAGCACCTGATCGAGACCTACTTTTCCAAAAACTACCAGGACTACGAGTACCTGGTGGACGTGTAAGTACTCGCCTCTAGGGCTGCATTCTCTGGGCAGGGCAGGGGGTTAGCACAGCCAGTGCTTCCCCTCAGCCAACCTCTGCTCCTGCAGCGGGCAGCGTCTGCCAGAGCAGAGACCCAGACATTTCCCTCATCCTGTCTTCCAAGAGGGAAGTCAGGTGCCTGGGCCACCCTGCGCTGGGGGTTGGGGTTGGGTATGATTTTCAAAAAAAGAATGATCTAAAATAGTATTTAAAGTTAGAAATTTTCTTAAGTTTATTCAACTGAAAATATAATTGTACTCCACACACACAAAGTTGAAAAGTAACTTAAATCTGAATATAATATGCTAATTTTATAAATTAGCACACTTTATAAATTAAACTTCATTCTTTCAAAAATCTTACAAATTTTAACAGATCTACTGAACAATAGTAGACAGCTGCAGTCTAGCCCTCCAGAGGGAGCTTCCCCCCCTCCTTTAAGCATCCTTTGCAAAGCCCCCCTCCCGTCACCAGGGAGCAGGATTGGGAGACAGAGCCTCGTGCCCAGGGCTGATGGCCGCCAGGTGGCTGCAGACGCTGAGACTGCCACTCGCACTTCTTGCGCCAGCATCTCAGCTGCAGCTGCGCAGACTGGGCTCCTTTCAAGGGTTTACTCAGCCACAGACTCGCCCGGCACCCATCTCCTCAAAAGCTGCTGGGAGCGTAGATACGCCCAGGAATGAGGTCAGCCTGAGTGCCAGTCTGGCTTACCTGGCATGGCTGGGGCAGCCCATGGGCAATTGTGGCCAACCAAAGGAGGGAGTGGGCTTTGCTCACTGATCCTGGACTGGTAAGGGTGGAGTGGGCATCAAAGCCACTGCTGGAGGTCTCCGTGGCAGCCAGGGCCCAACTAGCAAGGCAGAGCTCTATAGGGCAGCAGCCAGCCTTGTCGTGTGTTTGTGTGTGTTTGTGTCTGTGTCTGTGAGGCAGGCAGAGTCCCATGACCCAAAGCCAAGCTCTGCCAGGGATCTCCTGTCTGCAAAACAAGGCTCTCCCCGGCTTCAGGGCAAGCCTTTGAGCAAAACCAAGTGCTCTGCAAAGCCTGGCCCCCCGGGGCGGCCTCCGGTGGGGGCCCTGCCCTTCTCCCCCCTCTTGAACTTGGCCTTCCTTCATAGGATCCACGATTTCCAATACGCCATTTACGGAATTGCCGGTTTCTTCTTCCTCTTCGGAGCCCTCCTCCTGGCCGAAGGCTTTTACACCACCGGCGCTGTCAGGCAGATCTTTGGCGACTACAAGACCACCATCTGTGGCAAGGGCCTCAGCGCTACGGTAACAGGGGGCCACAAGGGGAGGGGTTCCAGAGGACACCGTCAAGCTCACTCTTGGGAGCTGGTGTGTCACTGTTTGGGCAAATGGCTAGGACATCCTGACAAGGTGATTTATCTGCAGTTTGCGTCTTCTGGGGCAGGTTGGCTGGTCTGGGCATGGGCAGACAGGCATGAGACTGCAACCCTGGTCGGCCCGGTGGCTGGTCCTGAGAAGGCTCCAGGCACGGGCGGAGCAGCTGCACTGAACAGACAGTGGCATCTCAGAGAGAAAACCGCACAGGATGGCAGCTCCCCCACCCCCATCCCTCCTTGCTGCCCCTCCTCATACCTCCCCAGCTGTCCCATTGATTTCGGCCCCTGCCCGCGCTAACTGGCTCGCTCATCTCACGGGCATCCCTGCAGGGCTCCCTTCCCTCCAGCCGCACGGGTACAGGGACCTAGAGGGACTGGGGGTGGGGGACTGCTGTGGACAGGTGGAGGGGCATTTGCCAAATGAATGAGGGAGCTGGGGTGGATATGAAGCACAGCCACAGGTATTGCCTAGGAATGCCTGGGAGACCCCCCAGCAGCACTGGGAGACCCCCAGCAGCTTTCCTGGCTCAGACAAGGACAGAGCAAACCAAGTGCTGTTTTCTTTCAAGATCACTTCTGCACCTCTTGAGCAGATGTTCACCCTCAGGCTCACACAATACGCCTTCTTGCACTCACCTAAATGTAACACACGTTTCACCTACCCTTACAGACCCTCTCACCTCTCCAGCCTGGAAGCACACATAGCAGACCATGGGAAGGCTGGTTCCCTGGATGTTATCAGCAGGCTTCTGAGACACCGGTGCATACTGAGTGTGCCTTTCTTTGAGCATCTGCCCCAGCCGGAAAGGGGGGGTTGGCACCCAGGGAGGGGGGCTCTCTGCACAATCAAGCACAAGCTCAGACACTTGCGGCTGTGGTCTCAAACCAACAGTAGTGTGTTCAAACAGTTTGGCCAGGATGGGGGTTGCACTTTGCAAGACGGAGAGCTACCTTCTTCCTTTCAAAAAGTGTCCAAAGGGTTCAATGTGAAGGGTGAAAGTTTGTGAACTGCAGCTGGGTTCAGTATAAAGCAGCCACTGGAGAGCAAAGTGCAGGTGGCAGGGATGAGGGAAGGGACCTGCTAGCATTCCCTGTTTTTAAAAGTGCACAACTAAGGAAGTGTCTCTGCACTTAAAATGCACAGCTTTCTAAATTGCATGAGGTTAGCTCATAAATCAGATTATATGTGTCACCCAGGCACAACTCCGCTCCCTATTGTCAACTGCTATGCCACAGCAGACCTTCAGCCTTTTGAGAGAAGATTGCAGAGCATCGTAGCCACCGATTGTGCTGAGAGGCCCTGGGTGGGAGAGGAGAGTAAGAGCTGTGAGCAGGGGGACTGCAATCCCTGGCAGTCCCATTGGTGCCAGAGGGGTCTCTCCTTCCCTTTCCGGCAGAAAGAGGTGGGGAAGTCGGCTCAGACTGCAGATCTCCAGTCTCATGCTCATGGCCAAAGGTTCCAAGCTGACCAGTGATGACCCTGCCTGTTCTGACTGTTTCAGTTTGTGGGCATCACTTACGTCTTGGCCGTCCTTTGGCTTCTGGTCCTGGCCTGCTCTGCTGTCCCTGTCTATGTCTACTTCAGCACCTGGACCACCTGCAACTCCATCGCCAACCCCACCAAGACCTCAGCAAGTATTGGCAACCTATGTGCTGATGCCAGAATGTATGGTGAGTAGCAAAAGCAACTTTCTTCCTAAAAACAGGAGACTTCTGAACAAGATCAAACCATCTAGAGGCTGCACAGGCCTGGGTGGTTCTCTGGCTTTGGAGAGCAGATGGCCACTCATCCGAGTCTGTCCTGGGAACCCAGAAGGCCCTCCCTGCCAGAGGCATATAGGAAGGTTGCTCAGGCTGAGTGCCCTTCCTGAGGAATGGGGAGAAAGTTGCCTTCAGGAGACTGGAATGGCTGTTTCCACATCCGGTGAAGTCTTGGTTTGCTTAACTATGGCTTACAGAAACAGCTGCAACTGGCAAGGTTCATGGAACTCACTAAGCCAAAATCAAAGCACTGAATGTTTTAGTGGGTTGTTAAACCTGGATATGGTTAGGCCTTCTGGCTGCCCCCAACCCTCTCCCCTGGTTCTCAAGACAGACAGAGGAGCTTGTTAGGGAGAAGCAGTCCAGGGGGCTCTGGCCAGGTTTCAGGCCAGGGACTTCCCGTGTCTGTCTAGTCCTCCTGGCCTGCTGGGTGTGGGCTGCTCTGTGCTCAGGACCTCTTGTACTCCACCCAGGTGTGCTGCCCTGGAACGCATCTCCGGGAAGAGTCTGTGGCCAAAGTCTCCTCTCCATCTGCAAGACTGCTGAGGTGAGTGTCTTCTGCTTCGCAAAGGAGTGGAGGATGGATTTTCCCAGCAAACCAAAAGAACCAGAGAGAAGTTTCCTTAAGGAAGAAAAGGGGTTTTATTAATTATTTATTAATCAAATTTAGACACTGTCCATCTCATTGTCTCTGGGTGGTGTAGAAGTAAAAAAAAAACCCAATAAGGTCCACATAAAAATCTGTAGAAAAGTAAACCAAGTTTAAAAGACCCTCAAGCCCATCATCACTTAGGATTGGGTCTCATTCTTGGATTCCGTGCCAGTTGTCAAAGCCAGATCTTCACACTCTTCCAGAAAGCCAGCAGAGCCGGGGGGGGGGACTTCTGGGGTCAGGTTCGCTAGAGCAGAGAAGGAAGAAGAGAAATTTAGTGCAGGAGCTGCCGGCTGAAAGGGAATAGAGGCCAAGGTACCTATGGACTGATGTGATTCTGACAGAAAAGTGCAATCAGATGACTGCCCATTATTCTTTCTATCAGTTCCTCACTGACCATTCTCACATTACAAACATCCACTGGGACCTTCACATTTGCCCTCCTCAAATCCTTCGATAAGTTAATAATCAAAATCAAGTTACTACTAACTTGTAATTCATTAACTGGCAATCTGCTCTTTGTGGATAATCCATTGTGTCCAAGACAATCAGCAGATTGCTAAAAAAAAACGAGTTGAGTCAGCAAACACATTTTCGTAGCTCAATCACCTACTGCCTTTTAGTAGAAACCATCAGTGTGAAGACAACCCATATTCCCCGAGGATGGACTCCAGCATGAGTCCAAAAGCTCAGAAGATTAAACCTCTGATTCCTCTGACTAATCCAGATTGGTTCTTGCAACAATTCGTATTATTTATATGGATGGACAAAATGAATGTAAGATACCATCTGGGCATTATTTTGTAGGTGACACTCACTTTTATATGTGAACGAGAAAAGACCCACCTGCAACTTTGAATATTCAGATGGATAAGATGGATAATCCATCTGCCATCTCTAAGACCAGCCTTGCTAGATCAGTGGACGCCTCTTTGGTGCAGCAGTTGGTTGACCACCTAGAAAAAGGTGCTGCCTTCTTTGGTCACAAGCCAACGCAAGCCCACCTGTGCTTCCATGGATGACCTTGGCCAGACCTTCAACCTCTGGGTTCAGTCTTCCAAGGGACTGAGATCTTCTTGATCCTCCATTCTCCAGAGATCTGGGGCTTAGACCTCTCTGTGTTATTTGCTTGCAGTTCCAGATGACCTTTCATCTCTTTATCGCCGCATTCGTGGGGGCTGCCGTTACTCTTGTGGCCCTGGTAAGTCTAACCAAGGGTCCCCTCAATCTTTTTCCTTTGATTCAAGGGTTAGGGTTAGGGCGTGTTGCTGTTATTGCTTTCAATCCAAACATTCAAAACAGCAACATTTTCAAATGACAGCAACGTTGAAAGGAGCTTCACAGTTGCAGCTGGGGCTGTTGCTGTGTCTTCTGCCAGGGAAGAGTGTGGGCAGGGCTGGAGACCTCTAGGCAAGTGCAGAAGCCCGAAACACTAGGGCCACGAGAAGAGCTTGGGGGGGGGGTCTTCCACAGGCCCTTTTAATCTCACCTCCTTCTTCCCACTTTCTGCCCTCCAGCTCACATTCATCATTGCTGCCACCTACAACTTTGCAGTCCTCAAACTGATGGGAAGAGGCACAAAGTTTTAAGCATGAGCGAAAGAAGAGAGCCATTACCTTCACCAGATGCTCTTCCTCCTCTAACTACCAGGCTTTAACCCAACCAGGCAGTCACGCTGCACCAGGCCTCCGCCTCCTTTAACGCCACCTGACTGCCCTCCCCCCCTTGTGCCAATGAAGCAGGCTGTGTCCCAAGGATGGAGGAGTGTCACACTTCTTCCTGCTCTTATCTCCCTGTAGCTCTCTGGGCTCCCCTGGGACCACCCAACTGGGGGCTCTCTGCCTCTTACCGGGAGAAAGAGAGAGCTGCCTGCTCCAAAGGAGGAACACGTGGTCTGGTCAGCCGGCTGAGCTGCCCTGAGAGAGAAGGAAGCAGGGGAGCCAGCAATGCTAGTTCACCAGCTTTCTCCTGAGGTGGCACCAGAGGCGGCGGAGAACAAAAGGTGCCCCTAGGCCAACCGCCCGTCTCTTGGGCAAGAGGGCTTAGAGCCAGGATCTTCCCAGGAGGGAAAGAGAGCACTGAGCCTCTGCCTTGTTGACAGGTGCCCTTGCCCACTGCCCCAGCCTCCCTGAGAGTCCCGAGGAACCTGGGGAAGGGGCCCTTCTGTCCATCCTTTGAGGAGCAGGTAAAGCCAAGCTGGTTGGCTCCAGCCTCTTTGGGCCACACCAGCTGGGCAGAAGTCAACTTTATCTTAGGAGCACCCATAACCAGAAGCTTGAGTGTCTAATGCTAGGAGCTCCTTCGTTAGAGGAGGGGATGGTAACCCCCAGCCCGGTGCTTTCCCTTTTGCCACTTGCTGTGGAACCCAAAGTCTGACCATCACATTGGTGCTCTTCTCTCCCAGTGACTGCTGCTTCTTTCATAAGTGTGCTTCATTAGGGATCACTTGCAGAATATAACCTGTATTCATTTCCTTGTAATTACTCTTTCCAATTTCTGGCAAGCCGTAAACCATCCCAGTTATATGGAGCCTCCCATCTTGGTTACTTGGTCCAAATAGAGAGGTAAAAGAAGAGAAACACACTGAACATTTTGGACAAGATTTCCATAAAACAAAACTGCTTCGGTTTCCGTGGGAAAGGAGCGTCCCTGAACTTCACACAATTACATCAAGCGGAAAGAAGGGATAGACTGAAAGTGTCACCGAAGCTCTCCCCGGCACCCCCGGGTTGGAAGAGGGGCTTCTTGTCCACGGGAGCAAAGCCCTGGCCGGGGGCTCCCTGGGCAACCAGGCTCAGCCAGCCAGCGCTGGGCTCCGGCCTTGGGGGTCTGTGGCAGCAAGTGGGGAGAGACGGCCAGGCAGGGGCCAGTTCCCTGGATGGCTAACAATCAGGGCAGCCCTGCTGAGCAGGCTTGGCCCAGGCAGCTGAAACCCACCCTGGGTGCACACATGTGAACAGAGCCCACCTGGAAAGCAGAAGCAAATGCCGGGGGCAAATGAAGTTGTTTATACCTGACATTTCACGTTGATTGAAATGCATATAACTGGGACTTGTGCCCTCCAAAATCCCTCAGTATAAACACTGGGGAACCAATTAATAAGCTAAGTGTGTTTCTTTCTCCTTTTGAAATTCATTTTTTTAACAAAGCATGACAAACTGTTTTTTGAGACTTACCTTGCAAGATGTATTTTGTAATATTCAAGGGAATAAAAGTTTTGACTGTGCTGAAGAACCCTCCGCTCTCTTCCTGTCTGACTGCTTTCCCACCTTGCCTCACCCGACTCTCCTCGGCTGCTCTTCTCCCTCTCCCGGCCAGGGAGGTGGGGGCAGGACTTCTTGGCAGGGCCCAGGCCTCTTAGCGGTGCTGGCACGCCTGGCCCTCCTTGGTGGGGCTTTCAGAATGGCATCCAGGCAGTTCAGGCTGAGGGTGTTCCCACGGCTCTGAGAGCAAGGATCGGGCTTTGATGCCTGGATTCCTAGGAGAGTTCTGTGCTGCAAGCTTCAGGAGTCCTAAAACGGGGGGATATTGGATACAAGGCCATTTCTGGCTATTGAGCCAATGCTGGAGTGGAAACGCATGGCTCACATGCTCAGCATCTGTAATGGAGGGTATGGGGCAACCTCTGCCTACCTACCCGTCCATCCATATACACATAACCAAAAATAAATAAATGCACTGGCTGTAATGCACATTTTTTTGAGCTAGACGTTGCTTCTTCACCAAACACGAGCATAATGTATGCTCCAGATGCTTAAAATAGGAAAACCAGGATGAAATCTCCTGTGATAAAACATATGTGGGGGTGTGATTGTCTCTTCAAAAGAAGCAGGGGTGGTTGCACTCAGGCTCCACTGGATGTTGCCTCGCTGATACTCTTGGGAGTGCAGGCTTTCTGAGAAAAATTGTGTCCCTTGTTTCTCCCATTGTGGCCAGATGGCTGTTCCACACTCCCACCCACTCCTTCGAGAATGCCGGGCACAGCACAGAGCGCATTGTCCTCGCCCTTCCCCTCCTCTGGACTCTGAAAGCCTGGTGGGTGTTCAGATTGGCTCAGAACTCGGAATGACCCACAAACAAAGCTCCTTCTTTTGCTGCCCCACAGAGAGCTTCCCAAATATATGGGGAAGGGGAGGCCCTATCCCTATGCCCAGTGACGTTATGGAAAATGAAAGTTACCTCAGTTACATGAAAGTGTAACCGCAATTCCTGGTTTGCTTTGTGACTTTGGGCAGAGAGAAAAACAAAATCACAACCAGCAAAGTTCACCGAGGGAGGGGGACTTCCTTTCACCTGCCAGGTGAGCCACCCACAAGAGACATGCAACAGGCACTGGTGGGCTTTCAGATCATAAATTGAAGCCCACATGAAGAGAGAGCCTCAAAAATCAAACGCCCCTTTTACAGATTAAACCGTTTGCAGCATTTGTCAGATACAGGAAGTGGCTATACTGATACGGGACTTAAATTGGGATGAGAGTGCAGAAAAAAGGGTGTTTGTATAGGTGCAGATTACAAGTGCCTTATCAATTAACAAACCCAGTACATTTAAAACACATTGTATTTGTGGAGACCTTCTGAAATGGCCTGAAATCTTTGAATGTTGGCGAGTTCTCTGAGAATGAATTTATCTATTGATCTGGTTGGCTGGATGGATCGTTCGGTCGGTCTTCTGAAGGCCTGGTTTAACATCATCAGTTGAGCCACTCCGTAAAGCCGGTCAGAATCCCCCTCCCTCCTTTAATCAGCTTTGATGTTTCCATGAGTCTCCATAAGGAGGAAGGAGACCTGTAACTGCTAACAAATTCTGAGGGATTTGTTATGTGTTCCGAACATAACATCCCCACTGTTTTTTTAAATGGGCAAAACAGCATGAAAACTGGCGTCATATGGATATAATCACCTTTTGCTGCCCAAAATACATTTATCTGTTGCCTTCTTACACTGCTGACTCATGACTATTAGACTTGTAGCAACCCCAGATGATCAGGGGGAAAACCTGGAACAGCAGCTGTAGGGCCAGCAAGGACAAAATGTGAACAATAGCAGCTTTCCTGCAGGCCTTCGAAAAGGGTGCCTGGTAAGGAGATAGGTGATCAGGGTGCTTTGTGATGCCATGCGGGCAGCCAATCTAGCATGATAAGTTTTAGGAATCAGAGCCCACGTTTTCAGATCAATTGTCTTCATCAGCAGGCAGGATGGGTTACACCGGAGGGCAAGGCATGAGATAGTTGGGGCAAAGCAGGCTCCTTTCGGATGTGATAATGAACTTGCCATTTTTAAGATGGTTTCTGAAATCCATCTTTATTAGTGTACTGGTTTGGTTTAGCTGTAGCAGACTGACATGACGCTCTCTGGAGACAGCTTTGAAAAAAATATGCTTGTAACACTAGGAGTAAATTTTCCTTTGAAATGAATGAAAAAGTTACTGCATTTGGAACTGCATCTTAAATGTATTAATCTTGTCACAAAAGATGCACAGAACACACAGGAGGCGTGGTTACACACAACTCTGTTCACGTGCTTGGCAGCTTTCCCTTCTTCATTCATAGTCACCAGAAAAGCTATCTCTGTCACGTCACATCTCTTCTTAGAACACCCCGACAGATGCAGCTGGGCTGGGACTTCTCTTATCATGGCTCTGGGTACAAAATTAGTTTAAGGGTTTTGCCACATCCTAACTGCCCCACTCCTGAAGCCACCTCTGCTGGACCCCAAAGACAGTGGGGGAATGGCCAGAGTGTGGCTTGAAGAGGAAGGTGGCTTGCCCACAATCGTGAACATGAATGACAAGCTGAGCTCCATGGGCCTATCACAAGGTGCTCTCACGGGCTCAGTTCTTTGGCCAAAAGGCCCCAGGAGAAGCTCGTCTTTCGCCTATACCATTTTTTTAGGTGGTGGGAGGTCCTCGTTTCCAGAACAGCCTGAGGGGGACAGAGCTCTTCCAGCATTTGTTTAGCACAGAATCCGTATTTCTAAGGAACTCGGCCTCCTTTGCTAAAGAGGCCAGGCATCTGCAACCTCGGAGAGCTAAGGACTCCTCCCAGAATGGTGCAATTGCTGGCGATGCAGAATTTGGCCAGTTTTTCGCCCCCCCCCCCCAAAGCAGAATGGAGGGAATGGCATTGATCTTTGCTCTGCTCAGCGATTCAACATGGCCACATAAATGGGCCACACTTTGGATTCACTGAGTTTAAGCATACACACCTACATATACACTAGCCATGTTAACAGTCTCTGTCCCCACAGATTCAGCTCAGAGCCATCTGCTTCCTCCAACGTCAAAGTGAGGTTTATGCCCCGCTTCCGGGTGAGGCACCTGCAGCAATCTCCAGGGGAATCAACAGGAGCAAAGGCAGAAGAGGTGGAAGAGATAGCACAGTGGTCTCCTGTTGCTTGGCACTAAAAGTAGCCATAGAGATGGGCTGATTCTGCTCAGCTCCCCCCCATTTGCACTCCCCCCCCCCATTAGCACAATACACCTTGGCCACAAAGCCCCACATGACTCAGCCTGCTTGCCACCAGGTGACTGTGTAACAGCTCCAGCAATTCTTGCTTTCCCTGGCCCTGCTCAGAGGTGAGGGATATGGGACAAAGGATCCTGGCCCTGTGTCTCTACAACTCACAGGGCAGGGTGAGGACAGGAAGTGCCCTCCGCGAGGGTCCAACCTGATGCTGCATGATCAGAAGGCTGAGCTGCTACACTAGGGCAGTTTGACCAGTAAGGGGCTCAGTGGGTAAACAGAAAACCCAAGAACCCTGGGTCCCCATTGGGTTGCTGTCTAGCTCAGGAACTCCGCTTCCTCCCTCTGTAAACAGCAGCCAGTTCTAGTCTGGCAGCTCTCAGCAGCACGAAGAGCCGGGCTTGGCACTGGGATGCAGACTGACCGTCTGGCCCAACACAGAGTGCTCCAGCTGCTCTTCCGAGGCCAACACCTGCCTCACTGCTTCCTCAAAAGCCACTGCCACATTTGTATCAACCTTGGCACTTGTCTCCAGGTAAGGGTAGTTGCCATGTGCCAGGCACCATGCCCAGGCCTCCTCTGCTGCCACCTGCCTCTCAGCCTTGTCCACCTTGTTGCCCAGCACCACAAAGGGGAAGTGCTCCGGATCTTTCACATTGGCGTAGCAGGCAAACTCTTTCTGCCAATGGCCCAGATTCTCGAAGCTCTGGCGGTCATCAACGCTGAAGGTCAAGAGGCAACAATCTGCACCGCGGTAGAAGGGCGTCCACAGGCTCTTGAAGCGCTGCTGTCCTGCCGTGTCCCAAATCTGCAGAGTCACAAGGCGTCCATCCACTTCCAGGTCCTGGTTGAGGAACTCCACCCCAATGGTGTGGAAGGCCTGGGAGTCAAATTTGTGAGTGACATAGCGGTTCATGAGGGAGCTCTTGCCAACGCCCCCGTCACCCAGGAGGAGGACTTTCAGCAGCAGAGACTTCATGGTGGTTCTGGCAGCAGCAAGCTTTGAAATGAGCAGAGCACAGGGTTAGCAGGCAGGTGCCAGGCCCGGCTCCCTGGTAGGTGGCAAGCAGGACATCTCCTGGCTCAGAGACCCACCTTTCTGGGGAACTTCCTACCTGGGAACTGGGCTGGAAGAAGAGGAGGCAACGCTCGTGGCTGGCAGGGGCCCCAGGGCCAACTTCCAGGAGCCAAAGCCCTGCTGGCGTTAGGCCTTCCCAGCTGGCTGGTTGGCAGCTCTGAGCACCTTGGCCTGCCTGGCTGCAGCTCTCCCCGACTGGCTGAGAAAGGGCTTCCACCGGTCCTCGGATTTGATCTGGAAGCCAGGGAGAGCCACACTCGGGAGGCCAGTCCCGCTGCACCTGGCGGGCGCCTGCAAACGGCCGGACGCACCGCAACCTGCGTACCGATATCAGCTACAAGCCGGGAGGTCCGCGCCCCAGAACCGCTTCGCCCTGGCCTTTCCGTCTTGCCCGCACATCCCTGCCGAGGGGCCCCAGCCGCCTCGACGCCCTCCATCGTTTCCGCCAAGCTGTTGGCGCGGGCGCGTCCGGGCCTCGCATCGGGCCTGGAGCAGGAGGAGAGCCGGAGGAGGGAGGCCGCACAGCGGCCGAGGGCCCGGAGGGGAGTGGGGTGGCCAGTCCCAGAAGCCGCATCCTCCGCTCCATCCCAGACATCTCTGCCCGGCGTCAGCGGCTGACAACCAACCCTGACCCGCCCGCGGAAAACTGCAAGAAGACGCTTCTCCGTCCCGCTCGATCTCTTCCTCACCAGGAGGTTCTGGCTCGTCCCGGAGCCCGCCGCTCCGTCTCTTCCGCCCGCCGAGCCAGCCCGCGACTCCGCGGCAGCCTCCGGAGCCCGGCATCTCCTGTGCGCATGCGCAGGCGGCGGGCGGCACGCGGCTCCCCAGGCGCGGTACGGCGAGCCTCTGGCGGCGGCGGCGACTACGCGCGCCAGAGGAAGGGCGGCCCCTCGGCCAGGCCGCGCCCGTCTCTCCTTCGCGCGGAGGGACGTGGGCGACGTTGCTGGCGGGCGGCTCCGACCCGCAGCGGCAAGCGCTGGCGGAGTTCCAGAAGGGCCGCCCGCGACTCTGCCCGACCGGCGGAATGGGGGGGGGTGCATGGGGGAGAGTGCAGAGGCGGGGCGAGGCTAAGTGTGAAAGAAGCACGTGCCACGAATCTCTGTCCCGCGGGGGGCCCGCCTGGCTGCGCGGAACCATCGCCTCCTTTCAAGGCCCCGGGCGCGGCAGCTGCCTGCCCTGAGCGGGGCCCGGAGCCAGGACTCGGCCACAGAGAACGAGGCTCACGGAGGCAAGTGGCTGCTTCGGCTCCGCCTGGACCAACGTGTTGCGCGAACACCGAGCCGGGCCCGGCGCTTCGGAGGGCGGCTCCTTTATTCCAACGCGGCCCCGCCGCTTCCAGCCGCGCTCAGCTCTGCAGGGAAGGAAGTTGAGGCCGGCGGCTGAGTGGCCCGGCGCATTAACGAAAGCGGTGTATGTAGCCTCCCGTCTCACAATTGCGATTCGGAGCACGCAGCAAAGCCTGGGGCTGCCGGGTAATTCCCTCCCAGTCGGTCTTCGAGGGGGAAGAGGCGGCGTTGGCTCTGCTCTGGGGCCGCCGCCTTTGGCGTTCCGAAGAACGCTTGGCTGGCGGCACAGAAAAAGGCAGGCGACGTCTCCCGCTTGTCGAGCTAGCCCGGACCTGTCGGATCTGTTCTGTGTGCAAGGAGCGGCCTCCCACTCCTGACCTTCCACTGGGGAGCAAAGCAGGAGGGAGGGAGGCCTTGCCCGCATCAGGCGCACATTTTTGTTAGCTGAAGCACACACCTGGAAAGCAAACAGCTACTGGCAGGGCAGGGCCTGTTGCTGCTGCCATGCAAAGGGGCTCTTAGAAGCATTCAGATGGTGAAGCGTGACGAATCAGCAGGCTGCTGCAGCAAGGGGCCCCCAAGGCTTCCAGGCTGCTGCATCTCACTAATGGCCACAGCAGACCCCAACGGCCTTGCAGAGCAGTTCAGCGTGGTTCCTAAATGCACATGCTTTCTGAACATATGCTGATCATGGACCTAAATTAACGAGATGGGCTGGGTTCTTCCCACATGCCCCTGGCCCATCCTTAGAGTGAGCATTGGTTAAATGCACACCAGCCCCATGCTTTCTGGAAATGGCCATTCCAAAACCCCTTTCAGCCGGTGTGATCTTTCCTATGGAGCTGAGATCCCACAGAGAATCATTCTGATCTCGGCAGAATAAGCACAAGTGAATCAGTCCAGTGGGGTGCAGGAGGAAATAGGCTGTTTGTACCCAGGATGTGGAAATGGGGCTTCCTACTGAAGAGGCAGCCAAAGTGCCCAAGTTCCTGGGACGCAGCAGTGAATTATTAAGGAGCAGGAAATCCAGTAACTTTTCTCCCCCAAGGTTTCACCACAACTCTGGCTCCAGGAGTTGCCTGCAAGATTGCCCATGTCTAGATGAGGTTGAGGCTCCTCTGTGCCTGGTCAGGTTGAAGGTTTCGGGAGGAGGCTTCGTGGTTTCTGAAGCAGAACATCTAGATTCAGTCAGTTTTGTTCCATGTAGCATCAACCTTGTGAATTCTCAAACTTCCTCTTTCCACTATGTATTCAAAATGGATAGTGATTAATATATACCGGTATGTAAATATATATGTATGGGTGTGGGTATATACATATGTATATTTGTAGCATGTGTATATGTATGGGTAAGGGTAGATATATACTTTCGAGAGCAGGCAACAGAATTTCATTTTTAATGTGTACCAGTGTGCCCACAGCAAAAAATGATAATAAAGGTTATCTTATTTCTTCTGAAAGGATGGAGGAGGGGGCCAGCTCTGCCCTCTTCAAGGAGGAGAGGAATGGCTCCATTTCCCTACTTTCCCCCCCCCCCCGAGGCTGGGAGGGGGCCACAGAGGAGTGTAGCTGGCAAGATTTTCTCTTGCTCAGAACTGCCCGCCCCCTTTTCCCGTGCACTAAGTCAGGACACACATCTGAGTAGAACATTGATTTTGGTTTGGGCATGCCCATCTGTGTCACCACCTTGTTGAGGGCAAGTTCCAGGGAGTGGTTCAGCTGTTGTGCAGAGTGCTGGCTGATGCCTGGCTCCTCCTTGAACAAACTAGACCCAACACAGTAGCCCTGACCACAGAGCCTTTCTCTTCCCCCCTCCCCCAAGGATCTGCAGGGGTCGGATCTTCTCTGCTTATGTAAAGCTATGCACCTTTCTCAAGAGGCTGCAGGGCTACTGTCCACCTTTCCAGCAAATGCTCTTGTGCTGGGTGAAGCTTTCAGTGCAAGGAGTTTTTCCTGTAGTTTGCTTTCCCTCAAGCTGCCCCCCCCTCTGAGAAAGGCACACCCAAAACGGCCTTTCTTGCTAAAGCGCTGAGGGGAAGTTGCAGGTTTTGCTCCCTTCCTCTTCAGGCTTTTGACATCTCCGCAAATCCCTCCCCTATTAGCAAGTGTGGTTAGCTCAGAAGTGGTGCCTCCAAAATTTACTGCTGTATTGGAACTCAATTATTACTATTTCCTGCTGGTTGTTAGTTATCTTTCATCACTGTAAATTGCCATCTGAATATCTAAGGAAACAATTGAGGCCTCTTTAGAAGACCACAGCTCTCTTAAACTGAGTGTTGATTCTTTCCTCCTGGCTATGAAGGTGCCCTTTTGCACTGCTCTTCAAATATATCAGACCCCTGCTCTGGGCACCTCTGCCAGCCAGAATATGAAAGGCCACCACTGAAGGCCTTCAGGGTCACTGTCTCCCACATGGCAGACTGCAAGCTAGTAGCTGTCTCTGGCTGTCTCTTTAACCTAAAATTCCCTATTCAAGATTGGCTTAGACTCACATTTTACCTTCTCAAAGCCCCGAGCCTGGACCAGTGGCTACTTGCAGGGGGTTTCGCAGAACCGCAATGTGATTGCCTTGGCCCAATCTCTCAGGTGACTCTTTGACTTCCCCAAAGGAAATGTCTCTGCCAGGAAGATGCAGAGATGCTGGACCCAGACTATTATCCCCTTCTGCCCCCGTCAGACAGAACACCGATCCCCCCTTCAAAAGCACCACTCTTTCTCAACTCACAGCACAGGCCTGGGCCAAATGCCTTCAAAACTTGGGGGCTCTGGGAAGGATTCACAAGAGACAGTCATGAGGTAATTCATTTTTAAAATTTTAATAGATTTTTCTTTCCATTTTTAGGAAATCAAAGCTGCAAAACCAATCACAAACATTTTTACTAATTAGGATTTAACTGATGAAATCCCTCCCCCCTGACAAGAAAGGCTAAGGATGAGAATTGCGCTGGGCAAACCCCAGAAATTCCCTGTAGATCATTTTTCCTTCTGTGATGGAAGCAGAGGGCGTGGCCAAGCCCAGAAAGGCAGGAGGGTGGGGAGGCAAAAAGGCCCAAAGAGGCAGCAGCCAGAGATGGGCTGCTGCAGCATTTCTCGAGTTGTTTTAAAAAAAGAGCTGAGAAAGAACATCAGAGCTTCATGCCGCTGGTCTATGATGACTTGGCAGACTCTTTTTCCTGTTCAATGGCTGAGGAAAGAAAAAGCACCTTGAGCATTAATAGTCACCTGCACCCACCTCCCAGACCCCCTGCCCTTAGTCCCTAGCTGGGGTTGAAAGGCATTTTCTGGGTAGCATAAACCTATCAGCAAGGTCTGCTGGACAACCCAACTGCACCCTAGTTCTGCTGCCTCCCAACAGAACCCCCACACTGGCCCAGGTTGTGGAAGTGGGGCCCTTAAACTCTGGTTCTCCAGCTCCTTCCTGAGTAGAGTCTGGGTCTTGATGCTCAAGGAAGGAACCCAGTGGAGACCCATCCTTGCTTGGAAGGCACCTCATCCTCCCAGGATTCCAAACTCACACCTCAGCCACCCGGATGCTTTGCCAAAGTCGGAACTAACAGGGAAGGAATCCCATCTCAGCAGGAGGACCCCATAACAAGCAGGACAGAATCCCTGCAAAGGCAGAGACCCTCTAAGGGCCCACTCATCTGCCAGCTGCTCCTGGACTTCCAGAGACTGACTGGCTGATGCCCAGTTCCCACTGTAGCGAGGTTGGGCAGGGCTCAACTCTAGGTGGAGGAAGCACAGCCTGAGGCTACAGCTTTCCCAAGTTGCTGGTCCCCAAAAGTTAGGCTCCCCAAGCCTTCCTTCCCTCTTTGCCCCATGGGAGTTTGTTCGAATGTGGCAGCTGCTGGAAGGCCCCGCCCAAAATACTTACTCTCCTTGGAAGGAAGCGTGTTCTTCTCTTCCGTATTCGTTTTCTTCAGCTTCTTCTTATCAAACTTCTCGACCTCCGAAAGATCCGGTTTGTCGCACATCTTGGCCAAAACAGGAAGCTAAGCCAATACCTTCAGAACTGCAAAAGGCCACATGGTTCCTCGCGGGGCTTCCCGGAACAAGGGGCCGGCAGCCGCAGCCCCAAGCCAGGCCGAGAAGAGCGGCAGGCCCGGCGGAGGAACGGCTCCAGGGGCCCAGAGGGGAAAGCAGGCCCGGGAAGCGCCGCGCCCGCGCCCGCCCCAAGCCAGACTCCGGGAGAGCCTTCGGCATAGCCACGCCCCTCTCGCCTTTGTCCGCCAGCCCGCCTCGCTCCCCGGCCTCTCCAAGCGCCTCTGCCGAGCCCGCTCGCGCAGGAAGCGCCGATCGGCTTCACGCAGCCCACCCAGCAGTCCCTGGAAGCCCGCCAGGCCCTCCACGCGCGAGCCCCGGAGAGGCACCCCCAGGAAGGGAAAGGGAGAAAGCGCCTCTCCGCCGCGGTTCCGGGTCCGCGGGCGGGCGGGCAGAGGACGCCGCTCCCCAGCCCGCGAGTTACCTGCAAAGCTGCCGTCGCCTCCGAGTTCCGCGCTCTCTAAGCCAGCGTGTCAGGGCGGCCCTTTATATCTGGCGGCCGGACCGCGGGGTACGTCGGGAAGTGTAGTTTCTTCTTCCTGAACGGGGAGGGCGCCGCACCGTGGAAGCCGACTCGCCCCTGGGGGCCCCGAGGCCGCGCCCGGCGTGCGTTGAGCGTTGCACGGTCGGCCTTGCCGCTTCCTTCGCCTGGCGGTCAGTGGCGCGCTGCGTGACCCCCGGGTGCGCGGAGGGCCCCCGCCCCGCCTTTTCTCCAGGCCTCCCCGGGTTACTAGCAGGGTGCGGCGGGAGGCTACCGCGCCGCTGCCTCCGGGCCCCGCGTCTGCCCGGGGCGTCGCCCTCGCAAGGATCCAGCGGCCGGCATTTCAGGAGCTGTTAAGCGAGCTCCCGCAGGCTGCTCGCTGCGGATGATGGGAGCTGTAATTCAGGGGCCTTTCACGGCCGCCGATTCCGAGCGCGCACGCGCTGGCGGGGGAGGGGGAGGGGAAAGCGCCTCCCCGGATCCTCGGCGGGAGACCGACTGGTTGCGCAGATCTGATCCTATGGCGGAGAGGCGGCCTGGGGCAGGGGGGGCTGTAGGGAGAAGTGGCGATTGCTGAAGGCTGCAACGTTGGGTGAAGGCGAAAGCGCTGCTCTTTGAGCCGAGCCTTCGTTTATCGATATTTTGGATGTCTGTGGTCGTCCAACACCTCGGAGACCACCGCAGCTGCCGGCCTCCCTTGGCCCGCCAGAAACGGGAAGGGAGAGCAGCAACCATCGCGCCGCCGCCCTGCACGCGGCTGTTGTGCAAGCCCCGCCTCATCGCGGGTGGGCGGGCCCCGTTCCCCGAGCCGCAGAGGCGGGTTGGCGCACCCCCCAGCGGCGGGACCGAGCCTGCGGGCTTGGCACGTGCTGGTCTGCCTTTTTTCTTGTTGATTTGTTTTTTTAATAAGCGTAGCACGTTCATGATGGATATTTGAACTTACATTTAAAACTAATCTAAATAAAGTAATAAGATATTGCGGTAAGATAGTGCATAGCTATTCTGTATGATCTTATGCTTGCAGGTTGCAAACAATTTGCTAGTGAATTATGGGGAGCCTTGTAGTTGTACTCACATTTTCTATGCCAATAAAAATTAAGTGCACACTTGTGTGTCTATATAAAAAAAGTCTAAGAAAGTTTGGAGACCTTATAAAATAAAAGCATAGGTGATGAAATATACATGCCAAAATTATCCAACATGTCCTTGTGGGCTTCCAATCAGCAGACAGCAGTTATAGTGGAAAACATAGGTATAACAAACAGGCCAGGAATAACCAGCTTATTAATAACAGCTACTTATTAAAGTATCAAAATTAACGTAAGCCACTAAAATTCAGCTCAAGTGAAGATAGTTTATAAAAATGGTATTATTAACTAAAAACAAAACATGCTAATGCCCTTTCTCCAAAGGATCCAAGACAAGTTGGCTGATATAATTGATTACATGGTTGCAATAATTAAGCCCAAGCTTAATTCACAAATCAGCATTAGGTTACAAATAATGCACCCCAGTGTATTTATTGGGGCTTAATTCTGCTGGGATGTCTGGCTTGTAACTTAAGGGTCCAACATGCAAGGCCAGAAATCATGATTTCTCCTCCCCCTTCCCCAGGCCCTGCAGGAAAGTAAAAGATGTTTTCTGCTGGCCCACTGTGTAATCCAGTTGAGGGCAAAGCGGAGCTTTCTGGCGCTCCAATGGAATCAAGTTAGTCCAGATGTGCTTGCAAACTTCAGATCTCTACAAAGTGTCCAAGTGAACCACATCCCCCAACTCTGAGTTTGCTCTGTACTTCTCTCTCTCCAGCCAGATAATGTTCAGTTCCCCTGCAGGTGTGTGGGGCAATTCTCCTTTCCTTCTTGTTGTCATTGTCTCCATTTACACCATGTTTGCAGATTGCTCTACAGACACTGAAAGCCCTAGCCCCCCTTCAGAATCAGTCCTTAGCTTGTGGCCTTGGACAAGAACTGGTAGATGGCAGTTGTGAGTCCCCAGGTAAGGCTTGAGCGGAGAATGAGGAGAGAGCCGCCCCTGTACAGCAGCCAAGCTTTCCTTCCCCGGGCCTGCCAGACCTCAGCCATCGTGGCCAAGAGGCTGAGGGTTTCCTGCCTTCCCACTTGGGACTGCATATTGGCAATGAGAATGCCAAGGGGGTAGAGCAGCAGGCACACCACAGTGCCACTAATACTGCCCGACAGAAAGGCTGGGATTCCAACAGGCAAGCTCTGTGTGGAGAAGCTGCTACGGAGAGGCTCCTCCAAGGCAAAATAGAGGGAGCTCCCCAGCCCATTGCGGATCAGGATGAGTCCGAGGCCTCGGTAGAAGCCCAGGCTAAAGCTCTCCCCGAGGGGGTAGGAACGGAAGGTGGTCAGGATGTGACAGGTGGTGGGGAATCTCTGGACCTTCCTCCCATCCTGGAGTACATTCTGAACCCTCTCGAAGGGACAGAAAACCAAGGCTTCCAAGAAGCCAGAAAACAGCCCAGCTGTGGCTCTGCGGGAAAAGGACCCCTGTGGCTGATTCGAGAGGAAGCCATAGAAGCTGTTGTAGGTGCCAAACATCAATGTTCCTTGCAGCGTCTTGGCCATGAGTGGTGGAAAGACACCACGATAGATTTGGCAGAAACCTTCGTGGCACAGCTGGCGCACCGCTTCAGTGATGCAGAAAGCATGCAGTTGCTGGCGGAAGATGGTCTTGTAAATGGGGAAGGTTGCCAGGGTGGAGAGACTGCTGGAGGCAGCGCCCACAAAATAACTCCCGCAGCCCCTTTGCCTCTGACCCCTCTCTGTCTCCTCCTCCATCGATGCAGTGTCTGACTTGCTTCTTGATCGTGAGGTCTCTGTGGGAACAGAGGAAGTGCACAGCCTTGGGTTCCGAATGGGTGAGTTGCTTCAAAGGGCAAGTGGGGGAAAGATTTAATCCTCCCTTCCGATTTTACTTTTAATTAAATTAAATTTTAATCTTTAAATAAAAAGGAATTTGTGCCCTTATGCCTGAAGTTGGGGCCAGAGGCGTTTTGCCCTTGGAAGCTTGACTTCTTAGATGTTCTCTACACACACATACACTCCCTTTTTGCAACCTTTGCTAAGGCAACCTACTATTCACAAAGGGTGGCTTCTACTTATTCAGTCTCTTTACACTCCAATAATTAGATGTTTCTCCTGGAGCCATCTTTCTGAAGCCATTCCAAGCTTTTCTACTAGCCCCTTTACGATATAAATCCAATTGGTTATATATCCTTGCTCACCAACTTCCTGTTCAAGGATTCTGGCCCTTTGTTAAGCAAAAAATAGTATAGTTATATTCATTTCAGAAGCAGGAATGAGAAGCATGTGGACCTTTTTTGTTCAAAATCAGAAGATAAAAAAGCTTTAGTATTTGCTCAAGTCATAAAAATCATAAATGTCAAATTAACAGGACTCCAAGTGAGCAGATGCACGCTCACACCTTGGAGTGCTGTTCACACCGCCTGATTTTGGGGTAGAGATCTTTGCTGCCAGAGTAGTGTTCCACAGCATGAGATTTTTTTTCATTAATGGTTGCCGATTTTGTCCCTGCAGCCTGTGGGGTTTTCTAAACCACGATACACAAATCTGCTCTTACCAATTCCACTACTTTTGAAATTCCTCAAACTAAGTTTATTAGAGCAGTTCTTGCAGTCTCAAAATATATTAAGAATGTTGTCTTATGATTGGAGATGGGTTAGAATTCTGTGGAGGCTAGAACTTGATCCCTTCTGATCCATTTTTGACTAAAATTAGTTTTTTTCTCCATAGGTCTAACCTCTGTGTTTTCTTAGGGATCACTTCAAATCAACATGGTTTAATAAAGCAATTGAGAAAATCCATTCCTTGGAGAACCGCTGCTCCCCAGAAGGGCTTTCAGGCAACCGATGGAAGCCCCAGCCTCTCGTGCTACCCTTTGGGGAGTCTTCTGAAAGGATTGGCACCAGCCTCCCCTCCATCACCAGTCACAGTACCGCAATTCCAGAGGGCGGAGAACAGGGCAACCCTAAGAATATCTGCATCTTTGTTGCTGTAATGAATCATTCAAATTGAGCCGCTTCCCTTCCCCGCAGTTCTCCTGCGGTCACCTGGGCAGCAAGAGGGAGGGCTGGAGCTCCTGTGCAAGGGCCTCTCCCTCTCCCATTGGGATGTGGGGGTGGGGGAAGAGATCCTCCGCAGTTCCCAATCCGATCTGGCCTATTCTTCAACTCCTTGGCCAGCTTCTCCCCCAATCCTGACTCAAAGGCTCCCACACGGCCAGTGCTAGGTTCTCAAGAGCCCCTTAGCCTTGAGTGCCAAGACCACTCGTCCAGACCTGAGGCAAATCTTAACCCACTCCTTCTGAACCTGAAACGCCCCAGGGGACGCTGCACCACCCCCCCACCCCCCCACACACAGAGAGAGCAGCCCTTTACCTTCTTCCGCACGTGTCTCTGTTCCTTTGCACAGAGATGCAGATCTGGCCGGCAATGCATCCTCTCTCTCTCTGCTGAAAGCTCCACCCCCGGGGCTTCCGGTGGGGCTTCCGCAGCTGCTTCTTCCTACGGCCCTTTCTTAGCATCATGGAAGACTCAGTGGTGAACACAGCTGCCCTGAGAGGAAAGGAGCATCTCTGGCTTCCCAAGGGGATGCCAGAGAAGAATGGAAAAGGCAATACTCTGAACTGCCGACGGAAAAACTCCTGGGCCTGGAGGGCCACCAGGACCTTAGGACCGTGAGGGCTGGAGGGGTCACAGGGCTTTTCAGAAGGGGCAGCAAGGAGCAGACTCCTTTACTGTGTTGCCATTTCCTCACAGTTCTGCCTTGGTCAATTGCAAGGGCTGATCTCCTCAACTCTAGTCAATGTGTTCAGCCTTGGCAGCAATACTTCCTTCTTTTCAGCAAGAGGAGGGGGCTTTCTCTGGGGCAGGAATGGTTCCTTTGCCTCTGACTCTCAGAGAATTGAACTTAGTTCCAGTCGTATTTGGAAGCTCAGGGGAGCCTCCTTGAAATAAACTCTTTTGGCCAAACACCTGGAGCAAAGGAGGTGCCTGTGGGGCAGTGAGAGGCATCTCCTGCTCAAAAGCTGGTTCACCCCTGGAGAATAAAATTGACCTGACGCAGCAACAGCCGACCTGCTTCTGCCAGATATCCTCTGTGATCCATTTGGGGACCTCTGAACACACCGAGAATCTCCTTTTAGGATAGTACAAGACAGCAAGGCCCCCTAACTCTAGGCCAGCAGTTCCCAACCTTTTCTATACTCCACACCCCTAGAACGCTTCTGATATATTCTCGCACCCCTTATAAAAGCTCGAAATAGCAGCAATGAATTATGCATATATAATTTTGAAATTTCTAAAGCCAAGTTTTCGCACCCCTGGTTGGGAACCCGTGCTCTAGGCAGACCCAAATTCCTGCTCTCCAGCACAAGAAGTGCTGAACTGCTTGGAGCGAAGGAGTGTGGCAGGCATTAAATTAGAGCACCCCAATCAAATGCCCCATCCCTCAAACTGGCAAAATCAGCACCATAAATAGCAGGATACTAGCCTCCCAAAGGTACACTGGTCTTACTGCCACAGGGGAGCAGAGCACCAGGCATCCATGGGATGTTAGTTTGGGTTCCTGGATTATGTGCTTTCCAGATTGTGTGAAGGGTCCCCTGACTCTGCACACAAGAGACCCACATCTAGCCCTGTCCATTGTTTAGCAAACTTCTCCAGCCATGTCACCCACTGTCTCTTGGCTACTTGCCCCTCCCAGAGAAGAGAGGCTGCGGAGAGAGAACATAAGATAGTCAGAGGAGCAACCCCCCTCCCCCCCCCGAGAGATGCCCTTCCACAAGCAGCCTTCCTCGTGCACTGGCAGTCAATCAGAACAGAGCTGAAAGGGACCTTGGAGGTCTTCTAGTTCAACCCCCTGCTCAAGCAGGAGACTCTATACCATATATATGTCCTTGGTGTGGCACAGCTGCTGATTTGGAGGGATTCACGGCGAGTTGCTCTATATATGCCTCAGCAAAAGGATATGCGGGCAAACCATGGGGGGCTATTACAAGTTGCCAGCCCCTTGGCACCCTGAAAAGAGATCTCCATGGATTGAATTTGGAGGTTTTCAGTTAATAACAGCTGCTAATTCGAGAAATAGCTTGCATTGCCTCAAAGGAGGCAGCGTAACGTGTTCAACTCCAACAGTCACAAATACTTATAGTCCCAAAGACAACCTACAATTACACTCGCCCATATCAAGACCTATTCCTCCCCACTCTCCTTTATTCTGTTTTTAGTGGGGGAAAGGGCTGCATCCCAAAGAATCTTGCCGGAATATGGTGTGTGTGGGAACAGCATCCAGAAAGTTCTTGATTTTTAAGGAAGAGTTTAATTCCTCCTGCTCTGAAGTTCTAAGTAACACAAACATCACATTGGTATCCTAGGGATTCAGCTGAAGCGAAGCTGAGGCAGCAGGAAGGGCCCAAATAAGCAAAATAAAGGCGCGTGCGCGCGCACACACACACGCCAGAGCAACAGGCATACAATCCACAGAACTGCTGCCCAGAACCCAGCCGAAGGGCCGTGGGAGCAGAGGCAGCATGCTAAGGCTGTAAAGATCTCTGCTTTTCTGGGAGCCGTGTTTCTCCTCTCCTCAAACACTCTGAAAACCTTGGGATGGGGATCATGGTCTTCTGCTTTTGCCTCTCAAAGGAAGGCAGGCCCCATTGCTCTGAAATGATCTCCACTGCTGTCGGGTAGAAAAGGCGCCAAGAGACACTCCTGAAAGTAATTGGGCAGAATGCCCCAGGATCACAAGCTGCATAAATCCCCTGGGAAGCCTTTAAAACGGGTGTGAAACTGCCGGCCCGCGGGCTGCACGCGTCAAGAGGAAACCGGGCCCACTACATTGCCGGCAATGGGGAAAAAGCTCCGATATGTCGCGCGACATCACGTGACGTTGCGAGTTTCACATGTCTGCTTTAAAAGGAAGAGGTGGGGGACACTCCAACCCGCCCCTTAGGAAATGAACGACATAAAAGGGGTGGGGAGGAAGAGGCAGGCAAGTTCCAGTCAGGGCACACCCCAAATGTGGGCATTTGTTTGGCAAAGGCCTCTCTCTGCATACTCTTGAACCAAGTGACCACTCTAACAAAATTACAATCCTGACCTTTTGCACAACTCGCTACCACGCCCTCCCAAGGACACATGATGGATGACCTGAAACGCTGGTTCTATTCTCCTCCAAGTGAAATAACTTTCAGTGTCATGTGAATCAATAACTTCACAAGAAACATAATTTGCATAAAAGCACCCCAGTCAATGGACAGGCTAAGAATATGAACCATGATCTCTCCCCCCTCCCCCTCCCCCTCCAAACACTGAGAAATAGAAAGGAAGAGTGTGGCAATCAAACAAGCAACATCTACTGAACTTAAAACAAATTTTGGTTTTTCAAAAAGCCACCCAAGCAGCAGCATCTACAGTTATAAAGGGACATGACTGAAGAGATAAGAGACAGATTCCCCGTTGTGAGTCCGCCTAATGGCTTCAGCCAGGATCATGGAGATATCAATCACCTGCAGAGAAAGAGAAAGCAACAAGTCAAGCCATCTGGAGCCTGCAAGCTGTCCAGACTCTCCTTTTCTTCTGCAGCCTCACCTGGATTTTAGGGCAGTGTTTCATCTTGTCCTCCTGGGGGATTGTGTTTGTGACTACAACTGCTTCAAAGCAGGCGTGGTTGATTCGGGAAATGGCTGGCCCAGAAAAGATCCCATGAGTCAGGATGGCATAAACTTTGGTAGCACCAGCTGAAAGCAGCCTATGTGGAAAACAGACAGAAGGCAGTGTTTACTGGGTGAGCCGGCTGCTCATCTCTGAATAAAGCAAGCATTCTAATCCGCCATTAGTAAACAAACCTAGCCTCTTATTGCTTTCAGCACATCTAATTTCATTCAAAGCAGCAGAATGGGGACAGGTAGGAGGCTGAATCAGCCAGGACAGAACTAGCCATCCACTCTCTTGACCCCAGATGGCTGCCTACACTCCGTTAGGATACTCACTTGTCTGCTGCGTGGCAGATGGTGCCACAGGTGTCTGCCATGTCATCCACAAGGATGGCCACCCGGTCCTTCACATCTCCTACCAGCACCATGCGGTCTACCTCGCTGGCCTTCTTCCTCTCTTTATGAATAAGGGCAAAGTCCACATTCAGCCGATCAGCAATGGAAGTCACTCTGTGGAGAGACAGGCCCATACCAGCAATTTCCAGAAAGGGTGGTAATCCTGCCCCTTCTTATGCCTTCCGATTGCAGGGCAGCAACTCCCTGAATTCTTATCAGCACTGCCACCTCAAATCCATCCCAAAAGAGCAGGCTGGGCAAGGCTACCATGAACTCTGCCAGCAGCACATGCTAACATATCATGCAAATACAGCACAATGGCCTGTCCTGCAATTCTCACAACAGAGCTCTTTATTATTTAGGAATGCCTAGACATGCTTTCTTCTGTGCCAGGCACATCATTAGATGGTCAGAAGAGCCCATTTGCTCCAATTCCAAGGTTCGAAGAAGCAGCAGAACCAACAGCTGGCCAAAACAAAATTCATTTCTTGAAAGGGTTTCCCAGTCAAAGCATTTTATGAATGCAAGCAGTCTCCTGCAGCTGCCTTTTCAGTCAGCTGGGACGTCCTCTGCTGACTGGGGTTCAAGCACTACAAAAAGTCAAGAGCCAGAAAAAACATGACCCTGAAAGCCAACAAAAATACAGGTGTGTTTTGAATTTGGAGAATGAATGGGGACTTTGGCCACATCTCTTCAAGGTGGTCACTAATCAAGACCTCATCACAGCCACGATTTGAGGCTGAAAACGTTCAGCAAAGCAGGCCCTCACCCCAATTGCTCTGGGTGCCTCACCTCTTGGCTCCCCCAGCGTCAGGAGAGACAATGGTGCAGTTCTTCCACTCAACAATGTTCTCCTTGATCCACTTTAGGACGGCTGGCTCAGCATAGAGGTTGTCCACGGGGATGTCAAAGAAGCCCTTGGGAGAGGAAGCCGCCCCTCAGCCCAAAGATCCCGCCAGAGCCCCCCTTGGGCTGGGCTTCGGGGCCATTTCCCGGAGGGCAGCAGAGGAGAGGACGCCCCCTTCTGCACCCGGATAGAGGCCAATCTGCCAGAGCAGCCCAAGAGGCCCCACGGAGCTTCCTCTCCAGGCAGGGAAACTTGCCAAGCCGGCAGCTGCCCGCCGAGGCGCGCCCGTCCCACCGCAGCCCCAAACCTGGATCTGAGAGGCGTGCAGGTCCATGGTGATGATGTGGTCCGCGCCGGCCACGGAGAGCATGTTGGCCACCAGCTTGGCGGAGATCGGGGCCCGGCTCTGCAAGAGAGGCAGCGGCGGGTGGGGTCAGGGCGGGCGGGCCGGCCACGGCCACGGCCCGGCAGGCGGAGGAGGGCGCGGGGCGCGGGGCACCTTGTCCTTCTTGTCCTGGCGCGCGTAGGGGAAGCAGGGGATGACGGCCGTGACGCGGCTGGCCGAGGCGATCTTGCAGGCGTTGATCATGATCAGCAGCTCCATCAGGTTGTCGTTGATCTCCCCGCAGCCGCTCTGCACGATGTACACGTCCTCCCCGCGGACGCTCTCGCCGATCTCCACGCTGAGGGGGGCGGGGCGTGAGGGCGGGGCGTGAGGCTCCCTCCCTCCCCCTTCCCCCCCCGCTCGCCCGCCCGCCCCCACGCATGCGCCGCTCCTCACGCGCACCAGGTCTCCTGGTTGGAGAACTTCTTGGTGACGACCTTGCCCAGCTCGAGGCCCAGCCGGTCGGCGATCTTCTGCGAGAGGTCCTGGTGCGAGCTGCCGCTGAAGATCTTGATGTTAGGCATCCTGGCCAGCAGCGGCGGCGGGCAGCGCTCCGCGGTGGAGCTCGAGGCGCGCTCCGCGGGCCCGCCGCCTTCCTGCGGCACCAGCAGCAGCTCCGCCGCCTCCCTGCGGCGCTCCCGCCCGCCGCTCTCGGGATCCAGCAGCAGCCGCAGCAGCGCCACACGGCCTCAGCCTTCCGGGCGCCGGCTCCGCTTAGAGGGACGGTGCGACGCACGGGCTGCCTTCGAACGCGCAGGCGCCGACGGAAGGGCCGCGCACGCTAGCCCGCCATCTTGGTGCCACGCCCCCTTTGTCACCTCACCGCTTCTCGCCTGGCAACGCGCACGCGCGGGGCGGGACTTGCTCAAAGGAAAGTTCCCACGCGACAGATGCGGAAGGAATAGATTTACTCTTCCTCGTTGCAAACCAGCAGCTGCTTGTTCCGTATACAGTATAGACAGCTGCAAAAAGGGGCGCCGCTCAAGCCCCGGGCGCAGCTGGGGAGACGGGCCTTGGGGAGCCCTGCAGCAGCGGCAGCGATGTCGCTTGGGGGAGCGGAGTCCGCCCGAGGCGCTGCGCTTGGCCACCTTTGGAAGCCGCAGGCGGATCCCGCTCTCCCAAGCGATGAGAGGCTCCCGGGCCTCCGAATCCCTTCCGGGGCCCCGGGCAGCGCTGGGCTGCGGCGACAGCAACAGTTCCCGACGCGCAGACGTGGCCGTTCCTGGCAGACGGAAGGCTCCACGACTCGGTTCTGCCGGGGGGGGAGAAACAGCCTCCCGCTCAAATGCCGAGAGGGCTCTCGGGCGAATCTGCTCCTTTCTGGCGGCGGGAGAGACAAGCCCTGCAGGGTCTGGCGCTCCCGTTCCCTCTGGGGGGGGGCGAGCAGGGACTCCAGGCTGGGGCTTTTCCTGGACGGGGCCCGAGCCTTTCACTGTTTCGGCCCTCGAGGCGAGCCGGTCTGGCCCTCGGCAGGCCAGGAGAGGAGCCGGGACGGGACTCGCGTGGCAAATGCCGCCTGTCCATCCGCGGCAGGCAGCAGTGAGATCCCTAGCCGCGTCCTGGCTCTCCCAGCGGCTGGTAGCCCTACAACATTCAGGCACTTGGTCTAGGCTGGGCAGGCGCTGGGCTCCGGTGACAGACACTGATTTACTTGTTCATCAGCGTCTTCAAGGAACGTGTGAGAGTGTTCACAACAGAGGCCACCGATTGGTGGCTCAGCTGCTCGGCTTCCTGGTCCCCTCGGTGGCAGGTTCGGGCAGTGGACTCCTCGGCAGCTCTCAATAAGAATGTGTAGTTCCTCACAATCTCTTCAACTTTGGCCAAGAGCGCCTGGCGCTGAGACTCTGAGCGCACCACGTTCACCAGCCGCACAAAGGTCTCAATCAAGCTGCCCAGGACTTGGAAGCTGCTGCTCACTGCTGACAGCATGCAGGTCGGGCTCTTGTTGACTGCAGCAACTCTGCGGCAAGAGGCCCGGAAGTCCTTGAACTGAAGGGCTAACTCTTGCTTGTACTCAGTCAACTGAGGGAGATACGGCTTGCCTTCCTGGGCCTCGGGGCTCACGATGCACTGCCGCAGAATGGTCAAGAGTTCACTAGTGTCCAGCTGCACAGCTAGGAACCCATTGGGCCAGGCGTAGGTGTGGCCCTTCAGGGCATGGATCTTGGCCAGATTGCCCTCAAAGGAAGAGGTCCGTAGGTCTATCTCCTGGGTTTGGTTTTCTGGAGTGCTGCAGGCGGTGGCATCCAGAACTTGGAGGGTTCTGCTGACAACTGGGATTGCCTGGTGGCTGATATTCCCTTCTGGGAGAATCGGCATGGGAATGGCGTAAGAGAGCTCATCCTTTTCACTCCCATCATCAGCCATGTCGCACTTCCTGTAGTAGAAGCAGTACCGGAAGGAGCAGCATCTCTCCCCATCTCCGTCCTCCTCTGGCAATTTGTGGGGGCTCGGATAGATGTCCTCCTGAAAAGGAAGCACAGCACCACCTTTCTCGCTCTTCTCAGTCACTTGAACACAAGAGGGGTCTGATGCTGTGGGGTGGGGGTCCTGCAATTTGGCTTTCAAGGCAGGGACTTGAGCCGTGGCCTCCCTTTGCTTGCTCAGGTAATGGCTCAGGTAGCCTGGGGAACTTGGGGACATTTGCTCCATCTTTTCAACTTCACTGACACTGTAGCGCCGCACCAATTTCTTGTAGTGGGGTGCTCCTATGCACTCTCCAGGAGAGGCACACGTGGTCAGGCACGACAGGCCGTTTTCAGGGTCAGACCGGCAATCCCTAGATTCCAGGCTGGTGGACCTGATCCGGCTGCTCTTGGGAGGGACTCTAGCGGAGGACTTTCTTGGCCCTTCTGCCTGCTGCAGCTCTCTGCTCCTGCTCTGCCTCTCTAGGTCTGTTGACTGGCCAGGCAGGGGCCTGGTGCCACGGCTGAGCCGCTTGCAGTCACAACTCCGCCTCTGTTCCCTGGATATCCCTGGCCCAGTCTGCACAGGGCTGGTCCGGACCTGGCAGGTGCAGCGCCCCGTAGCCGAGGGATCCAGACAGTCCGGAAACACGGGGTCTCTCCTGGGCTTTGGCTTCAGCAGCTCTTCTAGGAATTCAAGTTCGTATTGTCTCACTTTTTGCAGCTGAGCCTGCCGCTCATCGGTCTCTCTCTTGAGTCGCGTTGGGAAAGTGGCAGAAATGAGGTTCTTGAACCGGAATGATGCTTTGGGCACTTTAGGTTTAGCCGGGAGATCTGAGTCTGGTGCTATAACAGCCAGTGCCTTTTCAGGCCTTTTTAAAAGCATGGAAGTGGAAGGCAGGCTTTCAGTCCAAATACCTGCGGGGACCTTCCCCTTCAGACTCTCCCCTCCGGGGCTACTGAAGGTCTGTGGGCTCCTGCAGGGTGGGGGCCTCAGGGTGCTGCGGCTGTTGGCACCCGTTTCATGCTGACCTTTTTCCTCCTGGCTGATGAGTGTCTCCCTCTGGCTAGGTGGCCTGGCACCCTCTCCCCGGCACAGGAGTTCCTCTGCCCCCAGCTGCCCTGCCCCCTCTTGCCTTCCCTTCGGCTGGCAGCTCTGGGGTGTCTGCTTCTCCTCTTCTGCTGCTGGCAGGGGAGGGGGAACCACCTCCACAGGACTGCCCAGGGGTCCTGGGATCTGCTGGCAGGCCTCACTGCTTGGCTGCTTCTGGGAGCAAGGAAGGCTGGAGGGAAGCTGGCCCACAGAGCAGGGCTGGGCACCAGACAGCTGCCTGGGGTCAGGATCCCAGGGCGGAGTGCTGCCCTCCGTTGGCAAGGACACTGCTGCTGCTGCTGCTGCTGCAGAAAGGGAGGCTTTGTGGCCGACTAGCTGCAGACTTGATGCGACGAGGACAGGAGCTGCTCTCTGGTCCTGCAGCCCACTCTCTGGGTGGCTGTTTCCCAGGGCAGGGACAGCCGTGGCGTGTGGGGCCACAGCTGTACCGCAGGGGAGGGAAACCTTGGGCTCGGATACTGCCCCTTTGGCATTGGGCTCACTGAGCCGCTGGGAGGGCAAGGGCTGGGCACAGCCTTTCTCCTTTTCTCGCTTGCTTGTAGTGCAGGTGGCACTGGGGGTCTGGTCTGGATCCTGATGCTGAGGCGGCCCTCTGGCACCACCAGCCTGCATGCGGAAAGGAAGATCCTGCCGGGCCAGGTGCTGAGTCAGGAAGAAGGCAGCGTTCTGGCGTTGCTGCACGGCTGCAGGGACATCGTGGATCTCGGAGGAGTTGGTTTCGTGGCCGGAGTCCATTGATGACTCTGGGGTGATGGCAGCCAGAACGATGAGGCCTGGAGGAGAAGAAGGCACGCTCTTTAGAATCGGGCAAGGGCGAGGAAAGCGCCTCTCCTGCCGGAGGCTCAAGCCCACCCATAGCTACTGGATGACTTTGGCCGCTTGGCGCAGCCAACCAGGGAGGGGAAAAGGAAGGGGAGAGTGCTGCTGATTTAAATGAAAGGAATCCGTCACTCTGTGTGTGTGTCACTGCTTCAAAGGCAAAGCTGCTCCTGTGCTGGGGGGGAAATGGGGGGCTCTGCAAACAAGTGGTAGACGAGACAAGCCACGTATGCTGGCTACTGCTGGACCTCCTGTCTTTTTGGAGGCCCACGTTCTGGCATGGGCTCAGGAGGAATTTTACAGGATTGTCTGGGCTGCTAGCCCAGCTGCCTCTCGATGATGCACCTGAGCGGTGGGGGTGGTATGGTGGTCTTAATGTCCCAAAGAGCCCTTTGCTGTGCCAGGTTCTGGCCTCTTCTCTGAGGAGGGGCTGCAGACAAACTGCAGCCTCTCTCTTTCTGAAATGGGGTTGGAGAGGCATTCGGTCAGCCCAGTCTGGCTCCACTTGGAGCTCTTGAGAAGGCTCCAGCCACAGACTGCACCTCTGACCTGGGAGGGAGGGTCCTTCCAACCTCCCTTTCCACATGTGGCTATGCTGCTGCCACTGCCCCTCTCTTTGGACTAAGCTCGCAGGCTTTGGGGGGTGCTGCTGTTTTGCTGGGAGCGTTCTGATGGGAGCCACCTGGAAAGGGGGGGGGTACCTGCTGTCTGCTGCGGCTGAGGGTGTGGACCATCTTCTGAGGCTGCCAGAGCTTCCAAGGCCTGCAGAGTGGAGACCAGAGCATCATCCAGGTCCTGGGCACGATCTCGAACCGTCCGCATCGGCAGGCTGTCTATGAGCGTCACGGGAATCTCCTCGTACAGGAGGCCACAGAGCTGGCGTCCCGGCTCCTGCCCTTTTGCTATGGCAGCTGCCGCTGCAGCCACCCGGCGTTTAGAGTCGTCCTCGTCAGAGCTGTTGTCTTGAAAGCCGGGAGGCGGTGCAGCAATGGCAGGCAGGAGGGATGTGGTTTCATCCTCCTCTTCATCACTCCCTGGAGGGGGGAGGGAGGTCAGGTCCACCATGTTGTCCTGCGTGGGGCCGGGATTGCTGCCTCGGTGAGGGGCTGGCTGCTGGCGCTTCACTTTGGCCTTGCAGGAATCACAGTAGAGCTGTGGGGGGGGCTGGCTGTCCTGCTGGCCGTCCAGGGTGTATGCCCTGGCTCTGTTGGCCCAGTGTTCCTGGTCTGGGCCGTGGGGCTCACAGTCCTGGGCGGCCCCATTGCAGTCTCGCCCGGAGCTCTCTGAGGTGGGATCCGATTTGGTCCGGGGCCGGGACTCCTCAAAGAGGATCAGGTTTTCATTGACGTCAGTCCTGCTCTTGCGCTCCTTCTTGTGCTCCCGCAGGTGCAGGTAGCAAAAGCCGAGGAGCTCCGAGTCCAGGGGATCTGGAGGGCTCCCCGCTCCGGAGCTGGGGAGAGAGCCTCCCAGGAGCCTGCTCTCCTTCTTAGCCAGGGGCCCTGCTGGTGCCGGAGGCTGATGGCCGAGGAACGGGCTGCTGTCTGGAGCATAACACACAGTGGCTGTTAAAACGTGGCTCCCCAGGAGGCGGCTGGTGGACAGGCAGGCAAAGAATCCGGTGCCTGCCCACTTGGCCGGAGGATGAGCAGGGGACCCTGTGAGGTCGGTTCTGCTGTGGCCCCTCTGCCCCTGGGCCCCCCTCCACATTTCCTGCACTTTCAGCTTAATTGGCTTAATCTCTCGCTTGAGCAACAGTGGGGGGGGGGGGCTAGACAGGCCAAGAGGGCATGCTTCTTGCAGGGAAAGCCGCTGTCCTGGAAAGCCCACTCCTTCCCTTTGAGAGCTCCAGGCAAAGACCCTCTGGACTCCCTCAGAAGAGCCACAAGTGGAAGTGCAGTGACCGCTGCCCAATGGTCAGGGCTCCCCTGCGAGGCCTGTCTCCTGGCTCCTCTCCTTCCCTCAACCTCCTCCCAGCTGCAGGAGGAGGAAAGAGCGAGGGAGGATGCTGCTGCTGCTGCTACCTGCAGCCCTGCTGAGTAGAAAAGCTCTGCCCAACACACGGCTGCCTCCACACCACCCTGGCTCAGCCTGGTAAGGGAATCTCCATGCTTGAGAGGTTCCAACTGGGATGCTGCTGCCTACAGAGCCACCCAGGGGAAAGGCCCATCATTGGAACCCCCAAGTCGAGGGATATCATGGGAACCTGACCAAGGGGCACAAATCTCAGAGGATGAAACGCACCTGCCTTGGTCAGTGGAAGCGGTGGTGGCTGACTGGTGGGTCGGGAAAGGAGCGTTCGCTTGGAGTCCACCAGAAGGCGGCAGTAGCCAGCAATGAGGCAGGTGAAGTTGGTGGCCTCCGGCCATTCCATTAGCAGCACTAGAGGCTGGGAAGGGAGGAGAAGCCAAAGGGTCAGAATCCTGTCTGGCTATGGGACATCCTTCTCAAGAGGGAAAGCTAACCCTGGCCAGGAAAGGCTCCGTGAGCGCCTTGCTTGGAGACCCGCCCTAGCTCGCCTTCCAATTCCACCAGGCTGGCAGCCAGTGGCAGCAGCTGGACCTACCTTGGCATCCAGGATGCTTGTTTCCACCCGGGCCACACCTTGGTTCTCCCTGAAGAGCTGGATCTTGCTGACTTTGCTGAACTCGGACAGCACGGTGGTGAGGTTTGTCTTCAGATCAATGACATGGCTGATGCCATGGCGAGGCCCCACCAGGAGGGTGGTGGCTGACTGTTTCTCATCCTGTGTGGGATGAGATGCCAGTCAGAGGCAGAAGGGCAGAGGCAGGCCTTAGGATCTGGCTGGGGGCCTGTCACTGCCGTCTCCCCTCCCTCACACGCCAGCATTACTATACCAGTCCCACAGTGCTGAACAGGACGCCTGCAAAGGTTGGCAGCTCATTCAGGATGCGCAGGTAGTGGAGCTTCGCTTGGGTGGTGGTGATCTGGGGAGAGACATTGTGTCCTCTGTGAGGATGCCAGGGGCCAAGATCCCCATAAGAATTATTCTGCCCTGGCAACAATGCAGGGCAAGGGTGGCTTTTCTGGAAGTTGAACCTTTCTTGGCTTGACTACTGCAGTGGGTTCTGCCTGGGTTTTACTGTGGCAGCCAAGCTACGAACTGATGCAAACTAGTCCTGCAGTGAGAGACCTGCACCGGTTGCCAGCTGTTTTCTGAGCACAAGATCAAATGCTGGCATTGACCCTTAAAAGTCTGAATGGCTTGTGGTCCAACCGCCTGAGGGAATATTTGCCTGGTTCAGCAGGGGACACCCTCCCAAAGGCCAGTCTGCTTCTAGTGCAGAGGGGATGGCTTCTTTTGCAGCACCGTTGGCCCATACTGGACTGTGGTCTCCCCTGTACTGGATTTACAGCTGCTGCTATGGAAAAGCATCTTTGTGGGGGCTTGGTCAGCCATCGACCTGCCTTCTGTCAGCTTTAGCCCACTTGTGTGAAAGTTGTACCAGAAGCCAGGAAATATTTTTCCCAGAAGAGCTGGGTTTGGACTTTCTAAGAAGTTTGCATCACGGCCCCTTCTCTGAATGGAGAGAAAGATGTTAAGTAATAATCTCGTGGGGAAGGCACCGAGCTAAAAACCAGGAGATGGTGCGTTCTAATCCCCCCCCTCCCTTAGGCATGAAAGCTGGCTGGACGTCACAGGGCTATTGTGGGGAAAACAGGAGGAGGAAAGGGTGTCAGGTGTGCTAGCCACTTTGAGTCATCTGTAAAAATAATAAAGGCAGGATAAAAATAAAACTGGTTTTTCTGCATTGGCTATTTTACACTTTATGTAGAGTTGCCTATTGGCCTTCCTATGCCCTTTACCTCTATTTACAGGGGAAAGACCGTTTGTAGATTATGCACATCTAACGGCATGTCTGAACACATGGCCCACCTAATAATCAGGAATAAAAGCTCCCAAATCCTGCAACAGAGAGTAATTTGTTTCCAGATCCAGTGTGCCTTTCAGCAAGAAACTTGGTTTTGGTAACCAAGAAATTGATTTGATTACTATATGTTTAAGTTGCCCCTCCATCAGCCTGCACAGAGCAACACAACTGCAGATGGAGATCTGTCTAGATGCCCTCTATGAGGGCATGAGTGTTATTTCAAAGGATGCCAACTTGGCCAGAGAGTTTGGGGGGAGGAGGCAGCACCACTCTGGGAATCCTCTTATGTTTCAACTCAACTATGCTTTTCACTCACAGTCTGCTGGAGGAAACCACACTTGAGCCCCCTCTGGGCCGGAGGGGCCACACTGCTCCCCCCCCCGCTCAGCCAGCCCTCGGAGTCCCGCAGGCCCTCCGCCCTCCCTGCCCTCCCGCCTTGCCTTGGTGCCCCAGGGGGGCTGGTTCTGATGGGCCTTCAGCTGCTGAGACAGGGCCTTCCGGAGGCTCTTGTCTTTGATGCCTTGCAACAGCGAAGGGGGCAGAAACGGCTCCAAGCCCCATTCCTTCCTAGCAGGCAGGAGAGAGGGCTGGTGAGGAAGGCCAGGCGGGTCTCCCTCTGTTCCCCTGCCCTCCAGGGCTCCCTGGGCTGAGGGGGGCAGGCAGAGGACGAGTCCCTACTGCCTTAGGGAGAGGGCAGGAAGGAAGGGCAAATGGTCAACAAAGGGCCAAGGAAGGATTGTAGGGTCAGATCCTGTGGCCAGAGGAGGCTGGAGACCTTGCCAGAACGTCACTACGAAGCCTGGCTTAGTGTGTGTGTGAGACTCTGGACCCCCAGAAGGGGCCAGTGCATGGCGGGGGGGGGAGTCACTGCAGCTTTTGCTGCCAAACTTACTCCACGTTTTTGAGAGAGACTTTCTGGCTTGGCCGTGTGGCTGAAACCGTGATGTAAATGTGCAGGGCAGTCAGGCCGAGCAGCATTTCCGGCTTGGGCTCCATCCCAAATCGCTCCCTGATCACATCGTTGCGGCTCTGGGGAAAGAAAGTGAGCTGCTCAGACAGCTGCTTCCCCGTATCCCCCTCCCCAAGAAGGCCCTGCCCAGGTCTTTACAGCCCCTCCGGGCATGCTCTGGTGCAGCACCGCTATGCTCCGGGCGGCTGGGAAGTGGCTGCAGAGCAATCTGGAGCCAAGACAGAAAGAGGCCAGGCTCTCTGCTGCGAAGCAAGGGGGAACCTTGCCCTGATGGTAGGCAAGGCGGCCCTGCGCCTGGGGCTCTCCTCCCCCCTCCTTCACCTGGATATACAGGTACTCAAAGGCTGCCGGGTCCCTTCGAAGCAGCTCCACGGGGTCTTTGGGAAAAAAGCTGACCCGGAAGAGGCATCGCATTCCTTGGTAGTGCGTCCTCTGTACCACCTGTGCAGAAGCAGACGGGAGCCTCCCTGAAACCCTCGTCCTCGGGAGGCAAATGTGGCCCCTATGTGGCATTGGCTCGCCTTTTCTAAGCAGAGCAGAGGTCCCAGGATGGCATGTTCTCCCTCCCTAAATGCTGCGCCAGCTTCAAGCCCCCCTCAGTGTTCTGGTTCCTCCCCAGCCCAGACACTTGGCAAGGTAACCTGATAGAATCTTCTCAGGGCTGGAAGTCTTCCAGAGCAGGAAACCTCAGACAGACAGCTTTCCAATTGCCATCTTTGCTTGAAAGCCTCCATGATGGAGTTTCCATGACTCCAGAAGGCAAGCTGTCCTTAATAGCTCTCGTAGCCAGGAAATTGCTCCATATTTCAAGCTTGGATCTCTCTCTGGAAAGCTCCTACCGGTGACTGGTTGTTCTTCTACCCTACAGAGAATAAGGCCCCCCTCCTTTTTCCTGGGACAGCTTTTTTAAGTTTTGACGGCTGCTGTCATGTGTGCTTTTGGCCTTCTCTTAGGCTAAATGTACCCGGTTCTTTGTAGCATCTGGTCTTACTAGCTTTGTTTCTCTTCTCTGTTCTCTTTCTAATTCCTCAGCACCTGTCTTATATTTTATGGCACAAAATGATACCGTATTCCAGGTATGGTTTGACCAGTGGTGGCATCATCTCAGCATCCTACCTCTGCTGATGCAGCCCAGCCCAGCATTGGCTTGCACTTAATAACATGGAGCTGTGAGCCGGCCTTCTGAGATGTGAGCATTCCCCCCCCCCCCGCTTGTGTTATCTGCAGCTCCTCTCTACCCCCCTCCTCCAAGCCATACCAGGAGCAGAGCAGGCAAGCAGTCCTTCCAGTGGGAGCCGTGAGGAGGCCAAATTCCTGCAGCAGAGAGAATGGAGCCCGCACAGGGCTGGGGTTAGGCACAGGCGCTTACGTGGGCCAGGGGCTGTTTGTCCTGCAGAAGAAGGAACTTGTGGCTCTGTTCAGGGCTGGAGTATTCCAGGACCAGGGAGAAATGCTCGATATGCCTCAAGGACAGCCGATCCTGGAGGGTCATCATCACATCCTGGCCAGAGAGGAAGAGAGAAGCTAATTGGCGGCGGCGGGGGGGGGGACTTCAATGCTCAAGAGATGTTCCCCCTCTCCCAGGAAGGCCCAGCGTAGTGCAGCTCCCGAGGGACAGGGGTCCAGCAGTTTAGCAGTTCTTAGAATTAAAGGAATGAGGGCAGGAACCAGGCAGGAGGGAACCACTGCTGGGGGGGGGGATTTCATCTCGGCTGGATCGTTCGTAGGGAGAGGCTGTACCTCTATTGTGCCTCTCCCCACCGAGGGAAGCCCACGTCAGGACTAGCCTAGCGGGTTGCCTGGCTCCTCTGGCACTCCCTACCTTGACGGTGGTTCGGCCGTCAAAGGTGAAAGACTTGATCTGTCCGTTCTCAAGGAAAACCTTCAGCACGTTTGGAATCAGGAGAAGCGCTTCCTTCTTCAGCATGTCCTTGGGGAACAGGAGGGAGCCCGCCCACCCACGGAGCAGGGCAGGGCAGGGCAGAGAGAAGGAGGAGGGAAGAAGAGGAGAGCACATCAGCCACACGTGGGTTTTAAGAATCAGCCACTGTGGGGGAATGAGCTCTGCGGCAGGAGATCGTGGGGGACTGGCCAAATGTGCACCCCTGCCACCCCTGATCTCCAGGGCTGCTCTCCGCTGGGCTGGCAGGCCAGATGGAGGCTGGAGGCCCCCAATGGGTAGAGGCTCGAAGCAGGGAGGCTGCGGCAAGCGCGCACGGTCCGGTCTCTGTTGGGAGCTGCTGCAGGGCGTGTGGGGAGGTGTCAGCTGCCTCCTGACTGGCCAAAACATGTTGTAACCATAACCCTCGCCTGCTTTTCACACAGACTGGAATGTAAACTGAAATGGTTGCCTCCAGATCCTGGTGAACTTTGACAGATGTCCCCAGAAACAACCTGGCCCCCTTTTCTTCCATACCAAATTGAGATACATGGACTCTCTCAACTGTTTCAAAAGGCCTTTTCCACCCCACATCAGTTTCTGGGAATCGGCATACAACGCAGTTCTCTCCACCGGCCTCAGCTGTGCTTCCTAGATCAGTTGGAAAGGCGGCCCTTGGAGAGCTCTTCCCCTTGCCGAGTTGGGGGTTGGAGGAGATGAATCGAGCTACATGGAATCCCCCAGGGGGGCACTCACGGGATCAGTCTCGCCAATGGTGACGTGTTCTGAAAAGCGAACTTTCACTGGATTGGACCGCAATTTCGCCTTTTTGGCTGCACTGATAAAGGCTGATTTTGGGGACTGCAAAGAGAAGACACGTCAGATGAGCTCTGCCCAACCCGACCAGGCCTGCAAACCAAGAAAGCTTCCTTGGACTGGACACTCTTCCCCCACCCCGGGTTCTGATGGCCCAAAGGCTTTGCCTCTGCTGCTTGAGGCCACCACCTCCCCTGGAGAGCCAGGGTGGATCTGGCCATGCTGCTCTCCAAAGGACGACAGCCAGGTGCCTGCTTGGCTCTCTTCCTCTGAGCTGCAGCCAACAGAAGAAGAAAGGCGCTGGTTGTTCAGAGCCTTCTCAAAGCGGCTTTCATCACTGCAGGCATGACCAACTGTTCAGCGGTACTGCCACTTGGGTTCTGGGAGGGAGCAAGGCTGTTCCCTGCTGCCCTGCTTGTGGTCTGGAAAACAAATGCCAGCAGTTGTATTTCCCCCCCTTCCCCCAAGAAGGCAGGAGAAAACCCAGGCCTGGAATATCGTAGGGATGCTGCAGTGGGTCGTCAGATGGCCCTCCATCACCTCCAGCTTATCAACGGAGGAAAAAAACAGTGCTGTCTCTGGGCAACAGAGCAGCAGCATCACCTTCTGCTGGCATTCGTGAAGGTGTGTACCCAAGGCCTGGCCCTTCCAGGGGCACAACCGTCATAGTAGCCAAGATTGGCTGCTGCTGCTGCCAATCTTTGAAAAGAGGCGAATTTCACTTTGATGCCCTGGCCATTTTTTGGCTGGGGGCAACACATTCAGACAGCCAGAGCCGTCCAGCCTTCCTTCCACCCGTGTCGTGTTTGCACAACAAGGCAAGGGGGGCTGAATGGGATCAAAAAGCCTGTGGTCCAGCCCATTGTAGGGGACCAGCCATTTCTTCACATGCGATGTGAACAAGAGTCACTGGCGCAAACGTGGTGCCCTTCCCACCCCAAAATTTGGCTCCCACCTGATGAGTCTGTAGCACGGTAAGGACCAGGGCCTCCTTGGCGCCTCTGCAACGAGAAGGGAGAAGCAGCTACTTTCAGGAGAATTCTGTGGAGCATTGCAGCGAGAGACGGAGTCGGCCTTTCCCTGCCCCCAGTGGAGTCATTCCCTGGGTCCACAGGTCGGGTTTTCCTTTTTGCAAGACAAGTTTTTATTTTACTCCCACCCCCAATCATGGATTCGCTTAGAATGCCTTGGCCTTCGATCACAGGGGACGGGAGCAGATTGCACTTTTCCCTGCCCCAAAGATTATGCAGAACATGTCAGCAGTCAACTGTGGGAAGAGCACCGGGTGGGCTTAAGGCAGCACCTTTGGGAGCAGTGCAGGCTTTCCACAGCTGGCCTTGCAGCCCTGGTGGGTCTCTGAATCTTCCTCCCCTTCCATTCTGGCATCCCGCTCTTACCTGACAAGTTCTATAACTCTCTCTCTGGGGGCGTCACTTACATCTTCATGGTTTATGGCCAAAATTTGGTCACCTGCCAACAGCTTATCCTCAGATGGCCCTCCTGCCAAAGAAAGGGTGGTTGTGTGAGCCACTGCTGGGGGGGGGGTGCTGGGGACATAGCAGCCCCCATGTGGCTTTTGATGTTTCCATCATGTGCTGCTGGCCCCGCTGCCCCTCAGGCACCCCCTGGCTGTGCTCCCTTGCTGCCTGTGCCTTTGCAGCTGGAATCTCTGGCATTGGGAACCATCGGGGGAGGGAGGGAGCTTGACCCAAGCACTCTGCAGTTCAAAGTAGCTGTTTTGACCTTGAAATGATGTCACTTGAGAATGATCAGAATTGCCTGTTCTGAAATTTTGTACATTCCCACTTTGTCCTGTTGCCTCTTATGGCTTTGGGGAAGGAGGGGTTCTGATGTAGCTGTCCCCCAGTAAACAGAGACCCCTCTGCCCAACTTCTCGTACTTGCGACCTTCACTGGCCCCGCTCCTCGGGGCATTTCCCACCGCACCTGAGGTCACTGAGCGAACTACCACCGGTCTCTCACTTCCGGCCACAAAGCCGAATCCATAGACGGGGTGACGCTGGACTTTCACCTGTCGGAGGGCCTCTGCAGGCAACTGGTCACATTCCATATCATCCCAGCAGCGCTCTGCCTGCGTCACATGCCTGAGCATGCGGAGACACAAAAGGACAGAGATGAGGCTGGGGGCTGCTTGCGCCCTCTTCTTTGGCTAAGCCTGTGCTCTTCTTCATAGCCCGGGGGACCACCCAGGCTGGAGGGGGGGCCCACTGCACCAGAGTTGACCTCGCCTCTCTTCCAGACCGGACCCTCTCTCTCCAAGGCAAAGGCTTGCTCTGTCTCCTGGCACTTCGGCATGCGAGAGGACTAAGCTCTCTGCAGAGGAGTCCTGAGAGTGGAGGGAGGAAAGGCACTTCCAGATGAGGGCTGCACTCCCTACACCGAAGCAAGGTTGCTCTCCTGTGGTGGATTTACACAAGCAGCTCCAACAGGACACGCAAGGGAGGAAGAATCCAAGCAGGATTCACACTTCAAGACACTCAGGCAGTGGAACAGATCCTGTCCTCCTCTAACACCTAATTTCTTGGGGTGCCAATACTCAGTACATCCAGCGCTCTAGAGCATCTTATACCAAGAAGACATTTCTGTTGCCTGACATGCCTTCTCAGGGGAGAGAGGTAGTCCCTGGCTCCCTGGTCTTTAGGAAGGACAGGCTGAGGTGTTTCTTCTCCTCTGCAGCAATTGCCACCACCAGGGAAAGACTGTTTTGGACTGACTGGCAGCTTCACGCATCTCAGCATAAATTAAAATTCTGTTGCTAGATCTCATGTTTGCCAATGATATCCCAAAGTGCTCTCTCCTTTCTTCCTTCACCTGCTGCCCCCCATCCCATCCCAAAACACCTGCTTCAAGGCCCACCTGTCTGGGCTGGGGCTCTGTGGGATTCATGGTGGCATAGCCAATTCAGCTACTGATGCATTAAGGCCCAAGGTGGCTGAGCACCAATGGTGGTTCAACCAACCTAAGTTGCTGGAGCTTGTCCTTCAGCTCCTTCGGAGGGTCACAGGTCCCCTGCTCTGGCTGGAGGGTCTGCCAGCTGAGGAAGGGCAGCAGCCCGTCGCTTGGCTTCTCCACTTCTGCGGACTCTAAGCTGAATCTAACGCTCCCCACCCCAAAGATTGAGGAGGCCTGGTTTGCTCCTGCCTTTGAATCCAAGGAAAATGGCTGGGGAGCCAAGGATCCCAGGATCCTGCTCCAGTAGGAAGGAGCAGGGGAGGGACTCGCTTCTACTTGCTCGGAGATGTTGCTTCTGACCCAGCCAGGTTGCCCCACTTCCTGCCCCGCTTCCCCAGCCTCCCTCAGGGGATGAGGGAAGTCAGGGGACTCTTGCAAACTTAGGGCTTTTAGATGCTTGTGGCCACCAGCTAGAGAGCTGTTCTGAGCAAGCAGGCTGGCTGCCCTGTCTTTTGGCCCCACGGCTGGCTGGCTGGCTGTCTTGCCTCTCTCAGCCCGGTTCTGGCCTCCAGCATGGAAGGATTCCTTGCTTTTTTCCCTAATCTGCACTTTAAGGAAGGTCTCATTCACTCTGCTCTCCTTCTCTTCCTTTTTAAACATACCAGCAGCATTTGGGCAAAGGAGCTGCTGTTGCTTCCAAGGGATCTTTGGATGAGCCCAAACTCCCCCCCCAACCTGCAAGCACACAGGAGGGAAAGCTGTGGCCTTCCTTTGCTCCTTCCTGAGTACGATGAAAGAAGAAGAAAATAACATGCATTACACCGATTAAGGTATTATGAACAGCTTGCATAATTAGTATATATCATTAGAGTTCTGTGCAGATCAAATGTTCCCATAGCCAGGAACAAAACTGGATGGAGACCCTACTAGCAAGCGGTGATTTTCCTGGATCTCTCAGATCTCTGCTACAGAAAAATCGAGGTAAAACATTCCTGAAAATGATCCTTGCAATGGGTGCCAGCCCTGTGGATGAGTGCTGTCAGTTTGGGGACAAATCACAAGGAATCTTCCTGGGATGTTACACTTCAGACACATCGCTAAGAGACAGCAGGACGTGGCCACCAAATGGCAGGCCAAGGAGAATAAAGGGAAGCGACTCCTTGCTAAGGCTCCCTGCTGGCAGCTCAGTCCCTTGGGAAGGGCTCTAGGTCAGAAGGCTCCCAGCGGCTGTTTCCTGTCCCAGCCGGAGGAAGGCTGCACCGGAGCTTCCCGGGACCAGCACAGGCAGTCCCTGCAGGAAGCAGAGCAAAATGGGCCAAGTCCCACTCCAGATAAATAGGGTTGCAATGTCACCACAGCTGGCACAGATGTGCTCCAGATGTGCAAGCCTGTGGGAGATGGGTTTGTAGCCCTGCTCAGAGATTGGCCATTTCCCTCAGTAGTTCTTGAGATGTGCTGAAGAGGAATTATTTTCATCCCAAGACTTCTGGCTTCTTGGATTCTCTTTGACAGCCCAATCCAGGTGAAATTCTTGTTGTGAAATGCTGCCCTTATTCAGATCTAACGGCCCTTCCTGACCATATTCCCTGTTGCCAACAGGAGGCACAGGAAGGGAGAAAGTGAGCCATGTGGACTGTGCACCAGAACTCCACTGAAACCCTTTTGTGATTTGATGGACACCACAGACTGGTCCAGTCAGTTGCCTGGGCTAAATATACCCAACCCAGAAGGTGGGGAGCCTAATTTTAATCTCCCTTCAGAAGTTTGTCTCTGGATCAACCAATTTCATGGAACTGGTCCTCAGGTGGGCTGTTTCCTAGGAGGGAAACCCCATGGAAAAAAGCATTGCTGGAGGACCAGCCAAAAATAGATCAGAAGGCATTTTCTGGAAAGGAAAAGGAAAATCCCCCACAGGGCCAGCTGGAGATGCCTGTTAGAGGCACTCTGAGTTTTCCACTGCCTTGCTTGGACTAAGCAGACCTACAAGATGCTGTGGACCCTCCTTATTCAGTGGCAGAACAAGGTTCCAGAGCGGAAGATAAAAACCAGGAATTAAGAGCAGGAAGCTTCTGGTTGGCTCAAGAACAAGCCCACCAAGTGACAGTCCCAGCTGTTCCAGGCAAAGAAGCACATTTCCTTTCTGCCTCTCCTGAAAGACTTTCACACAAAAAATCCATTCATATCTGCGTGCCTGGTCTCTGGCTTTGTTTTCTCCCTCCTGCCTAGTTTTTGCTGCCTAGCTTTTGGTTGGATACAGCGATTCTGCTCCTCCTAATAAAGCTGGGAGGGGTGAGGCTACTTCAGAGAGTCCACCTTGAGGCGGGCACAACCAAGCCCTCCATTCATAGCAGGAGACCCCAAAGCAAGTGCTTCCAAGGAATGCCCCACTTCTCCTCCCCCACAAGGAAGCTGCCTGAGACTGGAGCCCCCCAGCAGCCTCCTCTGGTCGCAAGGTACTCACTGTCGGCATCCAGCAGCCAAGAGCAGGGACAGCTTGCTCCGGCCTGCTCACTGCTCGCTGCTGCTGCTGCTGCTTCCTCCACCTGGCGCTGGTGATGGCGGCGCCTGTGGAAAGAGCGAGGGAGGCTCTGAGCTCTCAAGCCTTCGAAATCCAGCCCCATCTGTGATCGGAATCTTAAAAAGCTGCCTGGCTCAGCCCCAGAATTTGGCGGGGGCCAAAGAGCGAGCGAGGAAGAAACTCTGGCATGTGCCAAGCAGCTGTTTGCTGGCCAAGTCCTTTCATAGCAGAGCTGCACCAGGGAAGTGGCTTCCTTCCCTCTCCCCAGACCCCCCTCTAGAGAACCCCGGATCTACTGGGGAAGGACCGAGACTTGAAGAGCTTAGAAGAGAAGCAGACAAATGGAGGAAATTCAACTCCCAAACAGCCAAGCAAAGAAGGCAAGAAAACTGATATATGCCCTGGCTGTGGCTTGGCGAGTTTGGCAATCAGAGGGTGAGAGGCACTTTTGAGGACAAGGATGTTGTGCATAAGAGACTTAGAGGCAGGTTGATGAGTAGGACTGCTGGTTTCTCAGCAACCCCTTGTGCAGGACACCCAACATGTTGAATAACATAGGCTTTCTTAAAGTTAATCTTGGGATTAATAACTCTCTATAGTTTTATGGTTGTTATTTCTCTGATTCACGTAGTAGAATTGCTTTAGGGCTGATATTTTTCCTATTGGATAGAGCAGAAGGGAGAGCAACTGAAGTTACAAAGAGCTAAGCAGAATCAAAGGCAGCTACTCTGTTTCTACTAGGGACGACTATGCGGGGAGGGGCCCTCAGCCACAATTTTTCCTTTAAAATTCTCTTCTGGCTTAAGGCAACATGGGAATCCAAGCAAGTGTCGTTTAATACAGCAAAGCATGATTTAACATGAAGCCAGATTCAGTGAAGATATGTATATGTTATAATTCTCATAATACAGAGTAAAACTAAATGCAGATTCAAAGAAATGGTGAGTGAACATATATAAAAAACAATCACCAGTTGTTGTATTTAGTTTTCTTACGTATCCTACAAATATAAGCAGAGACAACACAAATTATTCCTTTTATAAACATATAACGATTTCAAGTTATTATAGCCTATGAATCAATTAAAAGGTGTATTTATAATGCTGGCATTTTATGATCCTGTATGCTTAATTTGCCTCAAAGACTGACTGTGATCCTCTTGATAACTACATTGGGGGGGGGGGGCGGAGAGATGGATTTGATGCCCTTTTCTTGGGATGAAGAGAAGCAACATTTCATTTCGCAAGGCTGTCAACCTTGGGGTTTGATTTACATGCCCAGGCCTTCCTGGGCTTCCGCAGGGGATTCTGCCTAAGGAGCACATGAAGACTTGTAGAATCTTCTGCATCCCTTGTGTGGGTTCTAAAAAAGGAATTGTCTGAGAGAGGCTTGATCTTTTTTTGCTGGAAAATAGGGATTCTCCTCCGCTGCTGCTGCAGTGCTGTTGCAGATCTGGGCCAGATACTGCCAATCCTCCAGCTCCCTGTAAAAGACTGCAGGTGTCCAAATTTGTGCCAGAGAAACTAGAGGATGGGCAGGAGGGGGGGGGGTGTTAGCAAAATCCCTGTCTCTACAGCAGAAAAATCTGGGGGGGCAGCTCAGAGCAAGGGGAGACTCATAAGCCTCTTGTGAGGCTACCAAACTGTTTATTAATGCAGAGGCAGCTGCATTTACAGCCAAACGCTTGGACTGAATACTGTAAGAAGCTGACTCCTTGGATCAGCCTTGGCATGGTGGTGTCACATGCCCTGTGGCCCTGATTCCCACTTGGTTGTTCAGCACAGACAGCTTTCTGTAGGCAGTTGTGTCTGGAACAGAAAGGCGGAAGAGCTCCCATAAGTTGACACTAGCCAGGTTGTTGACTGCTTGGAGTCCCACAGGGTAACTTCACTTACTGAAACTGCCCAACAAACAGGCTTGACCTCTCCCTCTTCTGGATCTGGCAGTTGACTGGCAGCATGAGGGAAGGAGTTGCCTGCCTCTTTTTGGCAAGCAACCTGTATCAGAGGTAATGGCAGGGGAGTACCAGTCAAGTCCTTCACAGCCTGAAATAGCTGGGAAGACTCTGGCCAGTGATGCTTCATGCTGTCTTCCAGAAAATTGTGGCTGATGCGCAAAGCCTTTTGCAGGGGATGCAGATTCCTGCACCGGAGCTCGCCTTATTGCCAGCATGTGGATTCTTGCCTTATCTACAGAGCTGGAGCAGTTCTTCCACTTCTTTCTAGCCACTGTTCCATTTCCTGTTTTTATTTATTCCACTTATTCTATGTGCATTTAAAAAAATTGTTTTAGTTCACTAGCTAACAAGGTTGCCTGGAAACAGACTATTCAGTGTGACAAATTCTTGACTGTTAGCAGAATTCAGTTGCTTAAAAATCAGTTCTTTATCAATCCATGACAATTAGAAAATTCTGGCAAAATATTTACTCTGTCGTTTTGGAGATTTTCATCCTATGGATAAATAAATGCATCCCTATCTACAGCTTTCAATGCTATTGACACCTAACTGTAATTTTTTATCCTGAACCCTCAGGAGTTTTTCTTTTATTTGTTCTCCCATGCAAGGCAGTCAAGTCTCTTCCTTCTGCCCTTTCCTTAAAAGCACCCAGTGCTCCAAGACAAGCACAGATTCTTCCACCTCTTTGTTCTCCAGATTCAATCACTGGCGAAGACCAATTTTATCTGCACAATACTGAATGAACGAATGAATGAATGAATGAATATATGCACACTGGTCTGCATGTAGAGCCATAGTTTCTACCGGTAAATACACAGTGTGAAAGAGAACATACATCTTTCATTGGAGGGAGTCTCACACAAGAGTGCTGAGTAAAGAATAAATGCTATGGGGATGGTGAAGGGCAAGTTGGGTTATTTTCCACAAATATCACCAGGATTTCCTCTTACAATTGATACAGAGATAGTCTAGTTCCTTCTAGAAGAGCCAAATTGGGACAGGCATCATGATAAATGGAGGGTGGTTTTGGTGATGGGTAGTTTGCTTTACTGTAATGCACAAATCTTGATAAACCATCTTCACCACGGATGGTTTTGACAAAGATTAAGTGATTTCTGGTTTGTCATAAGTGTTTCTGCAGTCTGGGGATCTGAGGCCCTTTCCCCCCCTCCTACAGCAGTGCCAATAGAACTGTGAGAAGACTCTCCAAGTAGAATAATTTCCATGACTGTCTTTTCATTTAATTGGTCTCTGCTATGTGCCCTGCAGTTTCATTTTAACACATATTTTAAAGGTTTAAACGGGGAGTCATGAATACCCTGGTAGAATGAACATCCCATTAGATAGTGAGGAGCAGAAACAATAAAAAGGGAGTAGGAATTATACTGCATTTCTAAAGTATCCAGATCTGCTAAGGAGCCGAAGTGAATGAGGTTGGTAAATCTGATGAATGAATATAAATTATTTGAATAAAAATGACTGGAGAGAGGAATACATACAATATTGTTAAAAGTGTCGGTGGTATTTTCTCAAAGAAAATCACGTACTTTTCCAAGAGGTATGAAATAGTGGGATAAGGCATTTTACTTTCTAGACCTTTGTTGGCAGAACAACACTGGGCCTGCCTTTTCACAGATTTCTTGCTGGGGTGGACAGCCCTCCGTCCTTCCTGGAGAGGCTTTGAGGGAATACTGAAGCCAGATCAGAGCTCTAGACAAGGGTTCCTCCCAATTCAAGAAAACTATGAGTAGAAGCAGCAGGAACAGGAAAGCAGGAAAGAGGCCACGTTCCTGATTTTAAAGGAAACTGAACTCAGCAATCAAGTAACATGGCTTGGATTCCAAGAGAGACAATTTTAATAAAATCAGGGCAATTATGAAATGATGCCATATGATAACAGAAAAAAATAGCTTAAGATGGGCAATAAAACTATGAATAGTTCCAGTGAGGCAAAGAAGAGGCAAATTTGACTACACAAAAAGTTTGGTGAAGCTCTGAAGAAAAGGAA